GGGTTTCGTAAAGACTCTGTAATAATAGTTATAAAAATCTTAGGGATAATCACCCTGACTTACAAGACTTAAAAATAGAGATATTTCATGTACACTTTAGAATTTACAGGAAAGAAATTGTCTAGTAGAGAACGATTAAGAAATTACGAGATTATTAAGCGCTTTTGCAGCAACAATGACCAAATAAAACCGGCCAAGTGCGAGTCGGACTCGCTCATAAAGGGTTCCGTACCACCGTAAAACGCGTTTCTAGTAGGGGAGCCCCTTTTAATTTTTAATACATTTTTATTAATTGTTGTTAAAGCGGCAACAGAAATACACACTTTGTGAAAAATTCAACTGTCTACCTATTACGGATAATAAGATACAGCCCGCTGACAGACAGACGGACGGACAGCGGAAGCTTTGTAATAAGGTCCCTTTGGTTACTCTTCGGGTACGGAACCCTAAAAAGCCATGATTCCACAACTTTGTACAACCTCGCCTCATCGAGTTGCTTTAAATATTTCGTTTAAATTAGTAACTTTCTAGAAAATGTAATATAAAATTAATCGAATGTATTTTATAGACTGTGATATTTTTTTATAGTAGAAAGCTTTAATAATAGAAATACTATTAAGAATTTTGTCCCAGGTCAATTAAATGTTAATGCACCGAGACGTCTCGGGGGCGAGACAGGACGAGACGGGTCGAGACTAATCTACTATAGAATATATATTTTGTTCTTATGAATCTAGAAAGCTGTCTCCGTCTGCAACTTACGAAAATCTTATATTGCTTGAAAATATGCCTTTATCTATATCTGTACCAAAACACCCGTGAGTAGGGTTACCAGATGAAAAATTTAAAAGTCCTGACAAATTACCTGACATTTTGTTCTAAACGTAATTAACACTTGTGAAAAACTAATCAATTATTTTGGTTTTATGCTCTTCACGAACCATCCACGTAGCAAATATATACACCTCTCCAATGCAAAAACCGTTACTGTATTTTGATGAAAAATCGAAAAAGCGAACATCCGATCGCAGTTCTAATAAGAGCCCAAAAGTTCTGACATGTCAGGACAAATCCTGACATATCGTACCTGTACCCCTGAGTGGCTAGACTGCGCTGCAGGCAAATTGACTGAGAGCTACACATAAACAAATGTCCGACTCTCCCGGGGCAGATTTAAACTTACTGAGTCATCGGCCGACGTCGGGTTATTCCCGTCTTTTGTGTTGTCGAGAATCGAGATCGATGAACTTTTACCTGAGCAATCTAATACTATCGTAATATTGTGCGAGTGTTCATGTAAAACAATCATATTATAAAAATTACTTACAGTGTACAGATATTATTGTTCCATGTAGGCCTGGAACTTATAGGTCCCATGTTTTTTTTATAGAATAAGGATGACAAACGAGCACACAGTCATCTACACGTTGTCGTGGGTTCGAATCCGTCATTTAACTACGAGTACTGTCGTGAACCACTCCTGTCACAAGCATTTTAAATATACCTGCACGGCTAGCATGGGCTGGGTACAAAAAATTTATCTCCAGATTATATCCACTGACAAGAGATAAAATTATCTTGTCCTTTATGCCAAAGCACGGCAACGGGGCGTATATCCCCGTTTGACATAACGAGTAGATATACTTATATCCCCCGTCCGTAGCATGGAGCCAAATGAGTGATAAAAAATTATGCTTTTTTGACATTTGAAAGGGACAATTTTATGTGGGCTTAAGTTTATATTCATACAAGACATCTGTCTAAGTCTAAACGTATCTCCCATTTTATCTACTGTGGATATTATATCCACCGGTGTGCCCATGCTCGAAGAGTGTATAAAACTGAGCGAACATTTTCTCCTTTCCCCGGTGATAAAATTGTCTCCTTCCCATGCTAGCCCTGCTGGAGTGGATAACGTGAGTGTCAGTAATGCCGAAATAATAATAGCAATATCTTATTGGCTGTACGCATTACAAAAGACGAAGCAAACCGTTTGGTTCTAATGCATGGAATATCGACAACAAAGGGATGAAGACCCGCCGACCGCCTGGTTGTCCGATGGTGGAAAGGAGAGGGAGGAATTAAAGCGTGTAATTCCTGCACACTCTCCGAAGTGCATCCTATGGAATGCCGAGTATCTGACTACTCTGCGCCTATGCTCCAGGCTGACAAGCTTGCTAGCACATATAATATTCTTGTGGCTGTTTTGGCCCTGGACTCAATGAATCGCCAATCGCGGTCAGTGTACTCTAAAGATACATTCTGGTAAGTATGAGCCAGGGTGAACGAGTATTCCTTATTAAAAAGATAATAAAATGATAATATGCTTCTAGCGAGAAAATGTCTAAATCACTACGGATGACAGGCGGTTTTGTGATTATTTAATAGTAGCCGACGTTAACAAGTCCAACACTGTATGCATACGATGAGTACTACGATAATGATCTGGATATTTTAAGAGTCAATCATTGTTAATTATTGAGACAATTATCTTTTTTATTTAAACTACTAGGTTATACCTGGCGCGATGCTGCCGCAGAAGAAATAATTGTGAAAATCTCGTTTGAAATTTGGAACACTTATATTGTTTAAATTAGGAATGATAATAGCAACATTGAAATTTAATGATTTATAACCTTAAATAAATTGTCGGTACGATACGCGCGCCACCTACTGTAAGTTAATTGTACTTCTTCGCGCAAGTGTAAGCAATAAGTTGACAAAGTTTTACCGCAATTTGATGAACGGTATTCAGCGCATAAAATACGAACAAACAAACATTATAACAGTGGTAGAGCCACGCGGCAGCTTTTGCTGTCGCACGGATGGGCCGGCTCGAACCGGGGTAGTACCACGACCTCACAGAAAACCAGCGTGAAGTAGAGGTTTACCTCTGCGTTTCGCTTGGTGAGTGCAGGTGGCCGGAGGTCCTTTTTACTGGAAATGAGGCATTCCATCTTAGTCTTCACAGGTGACAACGCATCTACATTTTGATTTGTAACAGAGGATAGCTGTAGATGTCTATGGGCCGCAGCAAACACTTACCATCAGGTGGACTGTGTGCTCGTTTGTCACCCTCATACTATAAAAAAAAATTAATTTTTATATTTGTATTAGATAATAATTCTGTACGTGTTCCGTGTACGTGTTGTCTCCAACACACACAAAAAATTTTTCATCATCAACATTATGAGTGGGTTCCTTGATGGCTTAGATTCACAATAGGACCCAGTAGGAGGCGCTGTTGTTGAGATCCAGAAATCACCCAGCTCGACCGGGGAAGGACCACGCTCTCACAGAATACCAGCGTAAACAGCGTTAACACTGCTGTGTTTCGTATGGTGAATGTAGACAACCGTAAACCCTTTTTACTGGAAAAGACGCATTCCATCTTAGTCCTCACGGGTGATAACGCCTCTGCATTTTGATTATTTACTGAGGATAGATGTAGATGTCTATGGTCACAGCAACCACTTACCATCAGGTGGACTCTGTGCTCGTTTCTCACCCTTTCCTATAAAAAAAAATATCTACACGTTTCGAAACCAATTAAGACCGATTTTATTATTTTTTAAAGATACCGGGGTGGTACCACGACCTCACAGAAAACCAGCGTGAAGTAGAGGTTTACCTCTGCGTTTCGCTTGGCGAGTGCAGGTGGCCGGAGGCCCTTTTTACTGGAAATGAGGCATTCCATCTTAGTCCTCACGGGTGACAACGCATCTACATTTTGATTTGTAACAGAGGATAGATGTAGATGTCTATGGGCCGCATCAACCACTTACCATCAGGTGGACTGTGTGCTCGTTTGTCACCCTTATCCTATAAAAAAAAAAAATATCTACACGTTTCGAAACCAATTAAGACCGATTTTATTGTTTGTTAAAGATAATTTTTCATTGAATAAAGATGACAAACGAGCACACAGTCCACCTGATTGAAAGTGGATGCTGTGGCTCGTAGACATCTACATTTATCCTCAATTAAGAATCCAAATGTAGACGAGGACTAAGATGGAAAGCGTCGTTGCCAGTAAAAAGGGTGAGGGTGTCTGATTCTCTACAGTCACCATACGAAACAGCAGCATTAAGCTGCTATTTTATGCTGGTATTCTGTGAGAGCGTGCTCCTTTCCCGGTCTATCCGACCTATTCGTGCTACAACCGTAATATAACCGCAGCGTGGCTCTACTACATATAAAATGTATTAGTCTGAACATTATACATGTGTATACTAACGTTCTCTTTTTTCGTCTCGCATATCTTCGCTTTCAAATGAAATTCATTCGTGAATGGAAAACCGCGTATTGTCCGTAGCGCAGGTGAAGTAGAAGGCCGCAGAGGAAAGCGCGCCAAGTGTCTCACGCACTAGGAATTTCAAGGGGAATAGAATAGAATAGAATTATTTTTATTCAAAATAGATTACATGTAATTCTATTTGAAATTAATTTTTTACTTTTACCCCTGGTTCGCAAAAAAACCTCTGTCCTGGGAAGAACCAGCAAGAAAACCCAGCGGGACTTTTTTTAAAAGCATGGTAGCGATCACCACCAGAGGTTATTATTAATCATGTACTCTTTAGTAGTGTGGCGGCGTTGTCATCGCGCCACAAGCGAAACACATATCGAAGCCTAAATCGCGCTAACAAAGTTTAGTTAAAGCAGCATATATAGAATAGGTCCGAACTACCACTCCGAGATCTCCCCTTTTCCTTTTACCCGCCACAGTAGTATGATAACCCTTGCTAAATAATTTTTGCTTAATAAATATTTTAAACCTTTTGATAGATAAGGTCTGCATATTGTATTTAAGAGTGTGGAGGTAGTTTACATATTATAAAGATTGCTCAAGGACTAACATCCAGACCTGGAAATATTACTTGTAGACCATAGAAATACTTGTTCTGTGCGGTATTCGAAACCGCGGCCCTCAACTTTGTAACTCGTTGCTAAACCAAATCTCAACCATGAACCTTTATAATATCCTGTGTTAATGTCGACAGGCGCAGTGCAGCGCTCCTGATGGAGGAGTCGGGTCTGCACCTGGAGCATCCAGCTGCGGCGACGTTCCGTCAGCACGTGCTGGCCGGTGACTGGGTGAAGGCCGATCATGACTTGCGCGCGCTGCACGACTTGCTGCGAGACTCGCCCCACGTAGATCCCCACAATCTCTCCGTAAGTCGAACTTTAGTGCCGAATTAGAACTTTAGAGTGGAATGTTTTACGTCGATGGATGCTGGTGACTCAGGATCATGCTTTGTGGCATACTTTGGGGGATGCCTAGGTTCAGCAGTGTACTCGAGGAGGGTTGTGATGATGATGATGATTTTATACCATGTACTGTTAGTAGAATATTGTACTGTACTACAGTATATTATGGATGGCGTGAATGGATCGAATTAAACGCGATAAAGTCCGTGATTTTTTTTTATAGGATAGGGTGACAAACGAGCACACAGTCCACCTGATGGTAAGTGGTTACTGTGACACATAGACATCTGCATCTATCCTCAATAAATACTCAAAATGCAGATGCGTAGTCACCCGTGAGGACTAAGATGGAATGCCTCTTTTCCAGTAAAAATGGGTCTCCGGTTCTCTACACTTACTATACCGAAACACAGCAGTGTTAATCTGCTATTTTACGCTGGTATGGTCCTTCCCCGGTCGAGCCGACCCATATGTGCTACAACTATACTACTAATATAGCTGCAGCATGGCTCTATCACGTATAAAGATATTTGTAAGAAATCATTATACGAGTATATTAGGTTTGTCTGGAAGAAATCGCTTCCAGAGCGTAAGACTAGCCTATTCTACTTTCTATATATTTATTTCATTTTGTTTCGTTCTAATGTGTGTATTGGTGTACAGTAGAGAATATGTTGATTGATTGATTGTATTCAGTATTATAATATCAAAAAAGTCACCGAATACTACGATTATTTTGAAATTATTAGATTAATTTAATGTCCTTAAGATCGAATTTCGGTCACGGTGGGCATTCACAACGAAGATTAGCCATCTGTACAGGATAGGATTGTAGTGCCCGATTTGATGCGCAAGATCAGATGCAATCTCTATTCCCTCACTCTCATAGTCCAATGGAAACGTAATACGACACGACCGGAGACAGACCAGGTGCAGAACTAACAGCTTTACGTGCTTTCCGAGAGTGAAACACCGCCATTTATGACTCTAAGCTGCTGCTAAAAATTCTTTGTTTCTTGACAGAAAACCCAATAATTGATTTTTGGCCCGACCCTGGTTCAAACCCTGGACCTCATGATCAGCAACTGTCTTCACGACCACTAGAATAACGAGGCAGTCAACGTCATAGAAGTGTATTCGTCACCAAAGATTTCTATGTTTACTACTAGAGCGGCTATTCAGTACAAAATCTGTGTCTCAACTGTGGGAGGTACTATGGGTTAATTCGAGCAATTTCTTGATATTCGGCTACTCATATTATTATATAATAAGTGCAATATGGTTATGATGGAAGCATTTGAAGAAAACAAAATCGCTTGACCTTGACGTGTCCACAGTAATACACATTAGGCAATAACGCTTCACGTTATGAGGCGTGCATTATAATAATGATTTCTTATATTTACGTAAATATTACATTACAATCCTATCCTACGCAGACGGCTGATCTCCGTTGAGCCGTGACCGTAAGGCCGAATTTACACTGCCGCGGAACAGAACGGAAGCGAATTTTAGTAACGAAATTGTACATAGTAAAATGAGTTTTATGTTAATTGTATAGAGTTCAAACTAGATATGAGCCAAAAAAAAGTCGCGCGTCTTCCGTGGAATTCTCGAGGATTCCCTTAGCTACTGTTGGCGCAGTCTGTGGAATCCCCAGGAAGCGGCGCGAAGGTTGTGGAATCCGCTGGAAACCGGGAAGTGGCACTCGCAGCCACTTAGCGTCAAGGTGCAGTCGCTGGAATTCGCGGGAATGCTCGAGCATTCGCGCGGTTTCCCTCACGACGATGCAAAATTGACGCTTCCATTCTGCCGCAATGTAAATTGAGCCTAATTCGGTCTGGTGAACGTTATACGCGGCCTTTTTATTTGGGTGTGGGGATTGGTCGCAGGAGATGAAGTTCGTGGTGCTGGAGCAGAAGTACCTGGAGCACCTGGAAGCGGGGCGCGCGCTGGATGCGCTGCACGTGCTGCGCAACGAGCTGACGCCGCTGCAGCACGACACGGCGCGCGTGCACCGCCTCTCCGCGCTTATGATGTGCGCGGATGCGGCGGAGCTCCGTACGCGAGCACGCTGGCCTGGCGCTGGACCGCTGTCGCGTGCTGCAGTGCTGGCGCGTGTGCAGGTTTGTAGCTGTGCGGTGCTCATGCAGGTCAGTAGCTGCTGCACCGCCTGTCCGTGCTCATGATGCGCGCAGATGCGGCCGAAATACGCGGGCGCGGACGCGGGCCCTAAGCTGAACCACTGCCGCGCGCTGCAGAGCTTGCACGCGTACAGGTATGTAGATCAGCATCTGCTGCACTGCTCTCGACGCATGATGTGCGCTGACGTAGCCAAAACGCACGCGTGCGCAGCTACGCTACTTTTAGTTATGATTATAGTGCGCGAGTTTGTCCGCAAACGCAGGTGTATTTTCTATTCATCTATTTAGTAGCGTATACAGCCAGAAAAAATATTTTCCTAGGTTAATCTTGTGTAATTATTAAGTATGTTAATACTCAATTTACATATGAACGTGAGATTTCTATATATATTTTTTGTAAAACTAATAATTGAAACACACATCCAAACTAAATCTAAGATTCATTCTGATAGTTTGATGGGACGGCAATCAAACATGAACTTTAAGATACTTTAAAGATACTTTCCGAGGCACTGAGGTGAAATACCACCATTTTCCTTTGCGAGCGATTGGGCGTAGCACCGACGACCTTACGTGCGTTCCGAGGCACCAGAGTGAAAAACTAAATTCCTGACCCCGGGCTGCTACAGTGAATTTCTTAACAAGAAATCCATTAACTGATTTTGTCCCGCGACCACATTATATGCAGTCGCGCTTACGACTACTAAACCAAGGAGACAGCACAGAAATTTATACTGCTCAAACGAGGGTTTTGAGTTCTACCCTCATATATATTCATCTCTTCACTTTCTCGCCACTATCTGAGTGATGTTGTGATGTGCAAGCGGTGCTGCCGCCCGTGCTAATGATGGCAAAAGTTTATACTCCTCAAATGAGAGTTTCGAGTTCCACCCTCACATTTATTCTCTTATCTCGCAATTATCTGACACTAAGAGATATGATGTTGTGACGTTTTCGAAATCTACCTTCACTTGTATTCATCACTTTTAACAAATTCACCTGTCCGCGGTAAAACACAATAGTTAAACAATCGAAATGTTTATATATGATACGCGGGACAGTGAAATGGTTAACTTTCTAGCAAAAGGTTACTGTCTGACAAATGTGATGTTCTGATGAGGCAGTGCTGTCGCCCAGGCTGATGTTAGCGGAATTTTCTCAAACGAGGGTTTCAAATCTACCCTTACATATATTACCCTCTTAATTTTCTTGCCACGGTCTGACACTATTTGAGTCTACCCTCAAACAATTGACTCGCCACTATCTGGCGCCGCTATATTAAGCATGGTTGAGCCATTAACCGGGGAAAGACCACGCTCTCGTGAGTGAAAAAAACCAAAGATCAATTTTTACTGGATACTAGGCATTCCATCTTGGTCCTCAGGGGTGACAACGCATCTGCATCGATTTTATCTAATCGATTTCTTAATTGACGATAGATGTAGTGAGATGTGGTGTTGTGAAGAGCAGGCGGTGTTGCCGCAGACGCTTATGATGGTGGTACTTCAGATGAATATACGTGATGGTAGACTCGAAACTCAATATAATTTAATTTTTTCGTTATTATTAGTTTTCAAGTTCTACCCTTACATATTATATTCATCTCTCTAGCCACTAACTGACAACTGTGATGTTGTGATGCAGGCAGTGCTCCCGCCGGCGCTGATGATGGCGCCGGGGCGGCTGCGCGCGCTGCTGGCGCAGGCCGTGGCGCAGCAGGCGGCGCGCTGCCGCTTCCACGCGGCGCCGCGCCCCGCGCCCCCCGACCACATCCCCTACTCGCTGCTGGCCGACCACCACTGCTCGCCCGACCGCTTCCCCATACACCCGCTGCAGGTAGGTGCTGCTGACACTCCCACACCGCACACCGCACACCGCACACTACACACCGCACACCACACTTCCACGCGGCGCCGCGCCCCGCGCCCCCCGACCACATCCCCTACTCGCTGCTGGCCGACCACCACTGCTCGCCCGACCGCTTCCCCATACACCCGCTGCAGGTAGGTGCTGCTGACACTCCCACACCGCACACCGCACACCGCACACTACACACCGCACACCACACTTCCACGCGGCGCCGCGCCCCGCGCCCCCCGACCACATCCCCTACTCGCTGCTGGCCGACCACCACTGCTCGCCCGACCGCTTCCCCATACACCCGCTGCAGGTAGGTGCTGCTGACACTCCCACACCGCACACCGCACACCGCACACTACACACCGCACACCACACTTCCACGCGGCGCCGCGCCCCGCGCCCCCCGACCACATCCCCTACTCGCTGCTGGCCGACCACCACTGCTCGCCCGACCGCTTCCCCATACACCCGCTGCAGGTAGGTGCTGCTGACACTCCCACACCGCACACCGCACACCGCACACTACACACCGCACACCACACTTCCACGCGGCGCCGCGCCCCGCGCCCCCCGACCACATCCCCTACTCGCTGCTGGCCGACCACCACTGCTCGCCCGACCGCTTCCCCATACACCCGCTGCAGGTAGGTGCTGCTGACACTCCCACACCGCACACCGCACACCGCACACTACACACCGCACACCACACTTCCACGCGGCGCCGCGCCCCGCGCCCCCCGACCACATCCCCTACTCGCTGCTGGCCGACCACCACTGCTCGCCCGACCGCTTCCCCATACACCCGCTGCAGGTAGGTGCTGCTGACACTCCCACACCGCACACCGCACACCGCACACTACACACCGCACACCACACTTCCACGCGGCGCCGCGCCCCGCGCCCCCCGACCACATCCCCTACTCGCTGCTGGCCGACCACCACTGCTCGCCCGACCGCTTCCCCATACACCCGCTGCAGGTAGGTGCTGCTGACACTCCCACACCGCACACCGCACACCGCACACTACACACCGCACACCACACTTCCACGCGGCGCCGCGCCCCGCGCCCCCCGACCACATCCCCTACTCGCTGCTGGCCGACCACCACTGCTCGCCCGACCGCTTCCCCATACACCCGCTGCAGGTAGGTGCTGCTGACACTCCCACACCGCACACCGCACACCGCACACTACACACCGCACACCACACTTCCACGCGGCGCCGCGCCCCGCGCCCCCCGACCACATCCCCTACTCGCTGCTGGCCGACCACCACTGCTCGCCCGACCGCTTCCCCATACACCCGCTGCAGGTAGGTGCTGCTGACACTCCCACACCGCACACCGCACACCGCACACTACACACCGCACACCACACTTCCACGCGGCGCCGCGCCCCGCGCCCCCCGACCACATCCCCTACTCGCTGCTGGCCGACCACCACTGCTCGCCCGACCGCTTCCCCATACACCCGCTGCAGGTAGGTGCTGCTGACACTCCCACACCGCACACCGCACACCGCACACCGCACACTACACACCGCACACCACACTTCCACGCGGCGCCGCGCCCCGCGCCCCCCGACCACATCCCCTACTCGCTGCTGGCCGACCACCACAGCTCGCCCGACCGCTTCCCCATACACCCGCTGCAGGTAGGTGCTGCTGACACTCCCACACCGCACACCGCACACCGCACACTACACACCGCACACCACACTTCCACGCGGCGCCGCGCCCCGCGCCCCCCGACCACATCCCCTACTCGCTGCTGGCCGACCACCACTGCTCGCCCGACCGCTTCCCCATACACCCGCTGCAGGTAGGTGCTGCTGACACTCCCACACCGCACACCGCACACCGCACACTACACACCGCACACCACACTTCCACGCGGCGCCGCGCCCCGCGCCCCCCGACCACATCCCCTACTCGCTGCTGGCCGACCACCACTGCTCGCCCGACCGCTTCCCCATACACCCGCTGCAGGTAGGTGCTGCTGACACTCCCACACCGCACACCGCACACCGCACACTACACACCGCACACCACACTTCCACGCGGCGCCGCGCCCCGCGCCCCCCGACCACATCCCCTACTCGCTGCTGGCCGACCACCACTGCTCGCCCGACCGCTTCCCCATACACCCGCTGCAGGTAGGTGCTGCTGACACTCCCACACCGCACACCGCACACCGCACACTACACACCGCACACCACACTTCCACGCGGCGCCGCGCCCCGCGCCCCCCGACCACATCCCCTACTCGCTGCTGGCCGACCACCACTGCTCGCCCGACCGCTTCCCCATACACCCGCTGCAGGTAGGTGCTGCTGACACTCCCACACCGCACACCGCACACCGCACACTACACACCGCACACCACACTTCCACGCGGCGCCGCGCCCCGCGCCCCCCGACCACATCCCCTACTCGCTGCTGGCCGACCACCACTGCTCGCCCGACCGCTTCCCCATACACCCGCTGCAGGTAGGTGCTGCTGACACTCCTACACCGCACACCGCACACCGCACACTACACACCGCACACCACACTTCCACGCGGCGCCGCGCCCCGCGCCCCCCGACCACATCCCCTACTCGCTGCTGGCCGACCACCACAGCTCGCCCGACCGCTTCCCCATACACCCGCTGCAGGTAGGTGCTGCTGACACTCCCACACCGCACACCGCACACCGCACACTACACACCGCACACCACACTTCCACGCGGCGCCGCGCCCCGCGCCCCCCGACCACATCCCCTACTCGCTGCTGGCCGACCACCACTGCTCGCCCGACCGCTTCCCCATACACCCGCTGCAGGTAGGTGCTGCTGACACTCCCACACCGCACACCGCACACCGCACACTACACACCGCACACCACACTTCCACGCGGCGCCGCGCCCCGCGCCCCCCGACCACATCCCCTACTCGCTGCTGGCCGACCACCACTGCTCGCCCGACCGCTTCCCCATACACCCGCTGCAGGTAGGTGCTGCTGACACTCCCACACCGCACACCGTACACTACACACCGCACACCGCATACTACACACCGCACACTATACAAAGCACACCACACACTACACACCGTGCACCACACACTACACACTGCACACCGCACACTACACACTGTGCACCACACACTACACACCGCACAATACACACCGCACACTACACACCGCACACTACACACCGCACACTACACAACGCAAACCGCACACCGCACACTACACACCGCACACTACACACCGCACACTACACACCACACACTACTCACTACTCACTACTCACTACACACCACACACTACACACCGCACACTACACAAAGCACACCACACACTACACACCGTGCACCACACACTACACACTACACGCCGTGCACAACACACTACACACCGCACAATACACACTACACACCGCACAATACACACCGCACACTACACACCGCACACTACACACCGCACACTACACACTGGACACTGCACACTAAACACCGCAAACTAAACACCGCACACCACACACCTCATACTACACACCGCACACTACACACCGCACACCGCACACCGCACACTGCACACCGCACACTAAACACGGCACACCACACAACGCACATCGCACACCACATCGCACACTACACACTACGCAACGCACACGGCACACTACACACCGCACACTACACCTCGCATACCACACACTACACAACGCACCGCACGCTACACACCGCACACTACACAACGCACACCGCATACTACACACCGCACACTACACAACGCACACCACACACCGCACACTACACAACGCACACCGCATACTACACAACGCACATCGCACACTACACAACGCACACCGCACACTACACAACGCACATCGCATACTACACACCGCACACTACACAACGCACATCGCATACTACACACCGCATACTACACAACGCACACTACACACCGCACACTACACAACGCACACCGCATACTAAACACCGTACACTACACAACGCACACCGCACACTACACATCGCACACCGCACACTACACAACGCACACCGCACACTACAAAACGCACACCGTGCACACCGCACACTACACAACGCACACCGCACACTACACACCGCACACTACACAAAGCACACCGCACACTTCACACCGCACACTACACACCGCACACCGCACACCGCACACTACACAACGCACACCGCACACTACACAACGCACACCGCACACTACACAACGCACACCGCACACTACACAACGCACACCGCACACTACACAACGCACACTGCACACTACACAACGCACATCGCATACTACACACCGCACACTATACAACGCACACCGCACTCTACACACCGCATACAAAACACGTCACACCACACAACGCACATCGCACACCACATCGCACACTACACACTACGCAACGCACACGGCACACTACACACCGCACACTACACAACGTATACCGTACACTACCCATCGCACACTACACACCGCACACTACACAACGCACACCGCACACTACACAAATCATACCACGTACTACACAATGCACCTCACACTACACACCTCACACTACACAACGCACACGGCATACTACACACCGCACACTACACAACGCACACCGCACACCACACACCGCGCACTACACAACGCACACCGCACACTACACAACGCACACCGCACACTACACAACGCACACCGCACACTACACAACGCACACCGCACACTACACAACGCACACCGCACACTACACAACGCACATCGCATACTACACACCGCACACTACATAACGCACACTACACACCGCACACTACACACCGCACACTACACACCGCACACTACACATCGCACACCGCACACTACACACTGCACACTATACAACGCACACCGCACACTACACACCGCACACTACACAACGCACACCGCGTACTACACACCGCACACTACACAGCGCACACCGCACACTACACATCGCACACCGCACATTACACAACGCACACCGCACACTACACAACGCACACCGCACACTCCAAAACGCACACCGCACACCGCATACTACACAACGCACACCGCACACTACACACCGCACACTACACAACGCACACTGCACACTACACACCGCACACTACACACCGCACACCGCACACCACACACCGCACACTACACAACGCACACCGCACACTACACAACGCACACCGCACACTACACAACGCACACCGCACACTACACAACGCACACTGCACACTACACAACGCACATCGCATACTACACACCGCACACTACACAACGCACACTACACACCGCACACTACACATCGTACACCGCACACTACACACCGCACACTACACAACGCACACCGCACACTACACACCGCACACTACACAACGCACACCGCACACTACACATCGCACACTACACAACGCACACCGCACACTACTCACCGCACACTACACAACGCACACCGCACACTACACAACGCACACCGCACACTACACACCGCACACTACACAACGCACACTACACTACACAACGCACACCGCACACTACACACCGCACACTACACAACGCACACTGCACACTACACATCGCACACCGCATACTACACAACGCACACCGCACACTACACACCGCACACTACACAACGCACACCGCACACTACACAACGCACACCGCACACTACACACCGCACACTACACACCGCACACTACACAACGCACACCGCACACTACACATCGCACACCGCACTCTACACAACGCACACCGCATACTACACAACGCACACCGCACACTTCACACCGCACACTTCACACCGCACACTACACAACGCACACCGCACACTACACAACGCACACCGCACACTACACAACGCACACCGCACACTACACACCGCACACTACACACCGCACACTACACAACGCACACCGCACACTACACAACGCACACCGCACACTACAGATCGCACACCGCACACTACACAACGCACACCGCACACTACACACCGCACACTATACAACGCACACTACACACCGCACACTACACACCGCACACTATACAACGCACACCACACATCAAACTGTCACGCGGTGCCGCACCCCGCGCCTCCAGACCACATCCCCTACTCGCTGCTGCACACTTTACAGTACAGAACATACAGCGCACACCACACCACACAATACTACACACATACACAACAACACAACACTACACACATATACCACACACCACAAATATTTATTTTATAGGAGATGGGGCGAACGAGCATGCGGTTCACCTGATGGTAAGTGATTGCCAATACAATACGGTACAGTACACACTATAAAACCAAACACCATGAAACACAGCACACAGCATGCAAGATAGCATACACGCAACACTTAATATACCACAACACCAAACACCACATAGCATACTGCACACACTACACAACATGACAACATCCCCTACGCGCTGCATGCCATCCGATTTCGGCTTTTATAAACAATAAACTATACATTTTATGTTGTAAAATCAGATTATTGTTTATTAATTAATTCATTAAAGGGTATCCATATTCTTTCGTTGCAACAGATATTGAACGCCTCATAACGTGAAGCGTTATTAGGTTGTGCTTTACTTTCTACACGTCAAGGTCAAGCAATTTTGTGTTCTTAAAATGCTTCCATCATAACCATGTTGCACTTATTATACAATAGTATGAGGCCTACACCTACTGTCTGAAATTGGCATCACTGACTTAGTACTTTTACATTCAATCGTATTCAAATGTATTAAGTAGGCCGTTGTATTGGTAGTTAAAGAGTCCATCATCCCCATTTTGCTCAATGGGTCTCGAAAGAGGGGACTATAGGAAAATGGCACAAAGATCTTATGGCTTCCGAGGGATGGCGGTATATCCATATTTTTACGCCAGGCGTAAAATAGCCAGACTGGCGACATCAAAGGTGCAATGCGTCTGGTATTGTGATTGTCAATCTTTCTTCCAAGTGTAACAATAAAATTGAAAAAGCGATACTTAGCGATCTACTTAGCGATCGATATATAAATCTATAAGATAGGCCTTCGAGAGAATGAGATAGAATCTATACTAATATAATAAAGCGGGAGAGATTTTTTTGTTTGTTTAAACACGCTAATCTTTGCAACTACCAGTCCGATTTGATACATTCTTTGTATATGACAGCCAGATTCATGAGGAATAATATAGGCTATTTAGTATTAGGCTACACCTCTCAGCTAACCTTAAATATTGATTTTTGTTAAGCAAGTCGGAACAAAAAGCGCTCCCGTACTGCTTTATCCGCACGCGCTGGCGTAATGGTTAGTGATACGTAAATACAATGTTCTACAAAAATATAGATCTTTCCTCCATATAAAAAAAGTCCGCGATACTTATATATAAGCCATAATGAGGTATTTTCTGACAAAAAGTAATTTATGAGCTTGATGAGGCATGTCATTTTAATGCTTACGAACGAAAATTAATTCATCAAGATAGTTTTATGAAAATAGACTTCGCTTTTTATAGCATTTTATTTGGACGCATAGTTAAAAAGATAATGAAAAATGAAAATAATTCAACACTCGGCTGGGCGTGTGAATGACGGCAGTGAACGCTTCTATAAGCGAGTTGTCATGTCGCGCGACTTAGACGCGTGATATACGCGGGTGAAACAGCGGGGCACAGCTAGTAATGAATAAGGGTGACAAGCGAACACACAGCCCACCTGATGGTAAGTGGGTGCTGGTGGCCCATAGACATCTACATCTGTCCTCTATTAAGAATTGAAATGCAGATGCGTTGTCACCCGTGAGGACTAAGGTGGAATGTCCCGTATCCAGTAAAAAGGGTCTCCGATTCTCTACACACACCATACAAAACACAGCAGCATTGAGCTTGTATTTTACGCTGGTATTCTGTGAGAGCGTGGTTCTTCCCCTGTCGAGCAGTATGGCTCTATCACGTATAAAAACAACCTAATATTTTGCAGGTGCTGAACGAGCACTGCGACGAGGTGTGGTACTGCAAGTGGTCACCGGACGGCTCTAAGCTGGCCTCTGGCTCCAAAGACAACACCGTCATGATATGGGACTACGATCCTGTTGCCAAGCGACTCAACTTCAGGTCTGAATATTATACTTATAATTTAACTAATACCTTTTCTCACAATCTTAATGATTTTGACCTTCAAGAAAAGAGCCTACTCTTTTCTAAAAGGCCGGCAACGCATAGAATAGAATAGAATCATTTTTATTCAATATAGATTACAGAACATAATACTTATTGAAAGTATTTTTTTTTTCTTTTACCACTGGTTTTCCCGTGGCGCAGTGGCTTAGCAATCAGTTGTTGCGCTGGGTGCTGCGGGTTCGAATCCCGCACGGAACAAGTATTTGTATGCAATTTGTGTTTGTAAACTGCCTCCACGACACAGGAGAAAATCCTAGTGTGGGGGTGACGTTTTTTAAAAAAAAAAGAAAGACTTAGACTTAAAGGCGCTTTTTACAGGTGGCTAAATGAACATTGTTTTTATAATGTGAATGACTACCTAAATTTGACATGATGTGACACAACAGTAGTTATATATTTTTAATCAAATTTTAATCTTAATTATATTTAAATTTTGTATGTGTTGGTATTGCTCATTTGTAAACAATGACATGACGATAAATATTTTAATTGAATTTTATATTGTAATATGATAAATTTAACTATAAAAAATGTATTTGCATGCTATTATAGATGGCTGAAAAAGCTGATCTACACTATATAATAACCACCTAAATGTACCCCTTTTTCAAAGCAAATAAATCTTCATTTCATTTCATTTCATTTAAAAGCACAATTTACAATATAATATTTTATACAATTGTTATAAAAGCATTTAGAAACAGAATGGTAGTGATCACCTCATTTTCCAGGAATTATTATCAGTTATGTACTCTTTCGTAGTATAATAATCTTTACTAGACAATTTTTGCTTAATAAATATTTGATTTGCCGACGATGTAGTCCTTATGGCAGAATCGCTGGAGGACCTAAGCACTATGCTCAATGACCTCAATAGTGTCTCCCAACGGATAGGTCTTAAAATGAACATGGAAAAAACAAAAATCATGTTTAACGTCCATGTCACACCTATGCCGGTGGTTGTTGGGAGCACTAAGCTCGAAGTTGTTGACGAGTATGTTTACCTGGGACAAATAGTCCGACTAGGTAAGTCCAACTTCAAACGAGAGGTCAATCGACGGATTCAACTCGGCTGGGCGGCGTTCGGGAAACTACGACACATCTTCTCATTAGACATACCTCAAAACCTTAAAAATAAATTGTACAACCAGTGCGTGTTGCCAGTGATGACATACGGATCTGAGACGTGGTCCTTCACTGCTGGCCGTATGAGGAAGCTCAAGGTCGCTCAGCGAGCTATGGAGAGGGCTATGCTCGGGGTTTCTCTGCGTGAAAACTTAGATATCCGCAGTAGAACCAGAGTAACCGACATAGCCCAACGGATTAGTAAGCTGAAGTGGCAGTGGGCCGGCCATATAGCTCGAAGAACCGACCGATGGGGAAGAAAGGTTTTCGAGTGGCAGCCTCGTACTGGTAGGCGAAGTGTTGGGCGACCCCCCACGAGATGGAGTGACGACCTGGTAAGACATGCAGGAAGTCGATGGATGCAGGTGGCTCAGGACCGTGCTTTGTGGCATTCTTTAGGGGAGGCCTATGTTCAGCAGTGGACTTGTGAAAGGCTGTAATGATGATGATGATGAAATAATTTAAACCTTTTGATAGAAAAGGTCTGCATATTCTCTGGGACTTCGTTGTAAAAGCATATAGATTTCCCCATGAAGGAATTACTGACTCTGGAGTCGAGTAACTGGTATAACTAACTTGTGCTTGTCCATAGTATTTACAGAATGTACATCACTATTTTTAATAAAACTATTTTTGTTTTTGTGTACATACAATAAGTTCTCGTAAATATACTGAGAGGCCAAAATTAATATATTTATTTCTTTAAATTTTTCTCGCTGGGATTCCTTCGGACCAAGGTTATAAATTGCTCTTATGGCTCTCTTTTGCAAAAAAAAGATGGTTTCAATGTCAGTCGCATTACCCCATAGCAAGATTCCATATGACAGTATGCTATGGAAATAACTAAAATAAACTAATCTAGCTGTTACAACACATGTAAGGCATCTAATCTTTTTACAGCATATGCTGCAAACGAAGTTTGCTAACTAGTTTAGATATGTGAGGGCCCCACTGAAGCTTCGCGTCAACTGCAATACCGAGAAAAACAGTGAAAAAATTTGATGAGGTTCTCAGTTCACATGTTCTCTAGCCCATTGCAAACTTAGTCCACGATTTCCCCTTCTTAGAGCTGGGACCCGAAGTGGTATACGAGCATGAACGTTGGCTTCGCGCACTCCCCTCCTCACAGATTGATCACTCACAAGCATCTGGTGTTCAGAGTGTTGCTTTTAAACCAATTGCATCGCCGTAATATTTGGTTGTCTTCTCGCAGCAATATGCAAAAACGGTCTTGTCTGGCTATATATAGTAATGCGGCTTGGTCCTGGATGTCTCTCCGCCACCTCCCCCGCGGCACGATAGAGTGACCACAACCTCCATGTAAAAAGTACCAATTATCACAATCAACTCAAGTTGAATCAAAAATATGTTTAAATATCGGTTTCCGACAAAAAAAAATAACAATTACTCTAAGTACGAAATTAGCTCCCTCAATTTTTACCTCTAACACATTTTATTTTTTCTTTTATTTAAATTTGGAATCAATCTGGAATAAGTGACGAAAAATTTGTTATTAAAAACATACTATAGTAGCCAGTACTTTTTTAATTGGTCAATGTTATTAAAAATATCCCTATACATACTGTGTTGCATTTATTTTATTAAATAGATTATACTTCAGAAGTGCTCCCATATATATTTGGAAAAAAAATTCTACCCTTAAGAAAAGCTAAATAGGGGTGAAGTTTATAACGTAACTTCATGTTGATTTTTTACTCTTTTGACTGAACCAAAAAATATCAATATCTTAAAGTAAATTTTTTTGAGTTGCACGCCTAGTATGGCTTCAGGACAAAAATTTTATCCCCCGATTATATCCACTGACAAGGGATAAAATTATCTTGTTCTTATACAAAAGCACGGCAACGGGGAGAAGTATATCCCCGTTTCACATAACGAGTAGACATATCCCCCGTCCGTAGCATGGATCCAAATGAAAGATAAAAAATTTTATCTTTCATTTGGCTTTACATTTGAAAGGGACAATTTTATCGTAGTTCATTAGACGTGGGTTAAAGTTAATATTCATACAAAAAATCTATCTAAGTCTAAGTGTATCTCCCATTTTATCTACTGTGGATATTATATCCACCGGTGTGCCCAGGCTACTAGGGTGGATAAAACTAAGCGAGGGGATAAACATTTTCACCTTTCCCCGAGGATGAAATTGTCTCCTGCCCATGCTAGCCCTGCAGGAATAAACATCACACCTCACCTCATTCTTTGCTAAACCTTAATATGCTTCTTATAAATTTTTTTCAACAATATTTATCGCCAATTTGGGCAAAACAATTATTACAAGATATCATATTCAAGGGTTTAAAGTACTTAAGCTCTACATAATTTAAAGATTCCGAAATCTACTATTGTTACCACTGCCTGCAGATTCATCTTTTGAACTTTTGCTGGTGGTTATACTGACCGAGAAGAAATTGCACGCTAAAGAATATGCATAAAAAAATTAAGAAAAAATAGACGACTGATGCTATAGTAATTTTTAATATCCTTTTTTAAATAAAAATAACACAATTCTGAAACATAATATGTTGTAACACGTCGCTGTATTTTTAATATATTATATCATCATCCCATCTAGTTCAAGTTTTATTGAAGTCCTAATTATTGTTTTCCTTTCTGAAATCGTATCCCGATTTTAGCAACCAAAATTGCATTAATCAGGATAAGTCACATTGAATCTCTTGGTGCACTTTTGCATTTTACTTTTAGAGAGGGAAAGAGAGAAAATGATGAACTTTATTTACGTACACACATAAGCATAATTAGACGTATATACTTTATAATTGTGTTCCAGGAAGTCGTTCGACGGGCACTCGTTCGGCGTTTCGTACCTCGCGTGGAGTCCAGACGGCCGCTATCTGTTGTCGGCCGGTCACGAGGACTGTCCTGATATCTGGATCTGGAACATGGAGGTAACACCTGCAGCCTTATGTTACAACCATAGATTTGTTAAAATTGAAATTTTTCGATGGAATGATTATGGCGAGACCAAATCAAAATACACCAAAGTGTGTGAAATATGCACGTATGGGAGACAAATGGTGTTGCAATATGCACACTCTGACTTCGATTATCTATACCGATGGCAGTTTATGGTAAATATTTTTACCCGACTACGGGAAGTCAAATGGATGGTTACAACGATTGATCGATTTTCATGTGCTATGTATATGTATGTATGTATGTTTATCTGTTCCCTCAGGTACGATGCTATGAATGCTATCGATATGATGGATACAATGAGTAGCATCAAAATAACAAATTAGATATCTTTGAAGAGGTAGTGGTTAGTGGTCCCAAAAATTAAATAAAGATTGAAATATCGTCCGATGAAACGCAAACGGAATGTACCCGACATTCCGAAAATATATGCTATACAAAATGTGAAATACATGTTTTATACGTGGTAGAGCCATGCTGCAGCTATATTAGTACTATAGTTGTAGCACGAATGGATCGGCTCGACCGGGGAAGGACCACGCTCTCACGGAATACCAGCGTAAAATGGCAGCTTGACACGGCTGTGTTTCGTATGATGAATGTAGAGAACCGGAAACCCATTTTACTGGAGAAGAGGCATTCCATTTTAGTCCTCACGGGTGACGACGTATCTGCATTTTGATTCTTTATTGAGGATAAATGTAGATGTCTATGGGTCACAGCAACCACTTACCATTAGGTGGACTGTGTGCTCTTTTGTCACCCTATCCTATAAAAAAAATATATAATTATTTATCTGAAGTGACCAACGAACTTACCATCTACCTGATGATGGTAAGTGGCTTCTGCAGCCCGTGGACACTTGCATACCTTCAAACCTACCTTCAAACAATAAAGGCTACGTATACGGCTAGATGTAATGCTTCACAGGCTGTAATCATATCGGTCCTAGGTAAGAGGATGAAACCTACCCAGACGAACTCCTGGGCACAAATGGCGTCCTACCACTTAGTTCATACATAAACTTCAAAAATTGTTTATATAAAGTCGCTGAAAGAAACGCTGTTTTTAAGAAAAAACGATATGCGTATTATTCTGTGTATATATATATATTAAAAAATAAGTACCAAATGTGTGTTATTATGTGTATATGCTTATATTAAAAGTTAATAACTAAAACCAAACTGAGCAAAACGTGTACTAATAACATATCAAGGAAGAATTTTTTACAACACTGTGAAACATATTCAGATTAATACGTACCTATTGGTTATAATTCAGTTATTATTAAAGTAAAATAATTTTTTAAGTTAATGTGTGTCTTATGACGTCTTATGTAATACTATGATGTGCTGAAATGTATAGAGAAATCACTTAATTGGCGGATCGCCAAGGATCGGGGTAAGAAGTTTGCGGGGGCAGTGACGTACTGGCGTTACAGGGCAGTCACCAGTCAGGCGGGGGCGGGCGGCAGGAAACATTTTTTATTGTTTGGCAGTTCACCCGCGGATCTCGCAGTGAACATTTGATTATATTTGTCACGGACGCCTGGAGCAAAACGCACACGAGATAAAAATGCCACGATCAATGCCAAGATGAATCCCCTTCAGATTTTTGGTAAGAAAAATAGCAGGCAAGCGAAACAATATACAACGTTTATTCTTTCTTTAAAGCTAGAAAACAAGATCGAAGTTCTACGGAGTAAAATTTAAGACGTAAACGTGAATAAAATTGTTGCACAAGCAACAGGACTCTCATTGCCTAGTGTAAGTAAAATTATTAAAGAAGGCAACAACTGAAACGTGAACAGAATAGCGCAATTATTAATCGCCAACAAAAAAGAAACAAATGAGAAAGAAAAAAAATATTGAAATAGACTATTTTACAGAAAGCGTAATAAGACGAAAGGCAAATCAATTTTATACTATTTACAAGAAGATAAAAAGATGGAATTATTAATTGCAGTCGAGAATATTTGAGAATATTGTTGCACAAACTGGCTTTAGATTTAAGAAATATCAGTCGAATAGAAAACTATTTATTGAACAACCAAATATAGTATCTTGGTGATGTTGATATCTGAATGCGATAAAGAAGCATCGGAGAGATCAGAGGAACATTTTTTACCTCGATTAAAACGCGTCAATTCCTCCTTAAATGTCTCCTCGTGTTGGCAGTCCACAGAAGAAAAAGGAGTGATGTCACCTATTGGCAAAGGGGCACCTTTAATTATTGTCCATGCTGGAGGCCGTGGTGGATTTATCAATGGGACCCTTTTAATTTTTAAATCAAAAAGTAAATTCGGAGATTATCATAAAGATATGAATTTTCTAAATTTTAATTGTCAACAAAAGCCGCCGACATGCAGACGCCTGCCTGCAAAGACTAATATTTACTTAAAGAAATGTGACTTACTCACATTGATCAAGCAACACAGATCTGAAAATGTTTATAAAATTGACGAAGTGTTAAAGGCTGGTCACGAAGTCTTACGACTTCCACCATACCACCCGGAGCTGGACCCGATTGAGTTGGTATGGGGACATATCAAGGGGCAACTCGCAAGAAATGAACTTGATGGCAATTTTGATAACAAAAAAATTGCACTGGAGCAATTATTCGCCGATTTTTCGGTAGAAACATTTGAAAGCCATATCCAGAAAATTAAACACGATCAAATATTCGATGATGTTATGGATTTAATGATAATTAATTTACTAGACAATTCCGACTCATCAAGCTGCACTTAAAGTGAAGATAATTCAAGTGAGAATGATAGTAGCGAGGAAGAATAATATTTTTTATATTATTATTAATAATATGAAACGGTTCTGGCATAGTCTATTGATTATTTTTTTATATTATTGCATTATAATTATATGCAATATATAAGTTTAATATAAATAAAATAAATATTATGCTCCAAACCCATTTTATATTTCAGCCCATAGTTGCTTAAACTAAAAAATTTACCCAGAGAGATGAAGATAAATTTGATTTGTGTCATATTGCGTCCACCAAACATTAACCCGGGATCTATCTTGGGTTAAATAACTACGTCTGTGCCGATTCCCGCCATTACAAAGTTGAATAAGGCTGCATGTAAGGCATACCTTTGCCAATTAGTGACACATCAAAGTGAGGTTAAAATTAGCAGGTTTTCACGTATTTGTGATTACTTTAAAATCAGAAAAAGAAACGGTTTTTTTTATTCAATATAGGTTATAAATAGTTTGGCAAATCCAAAAGTGCACGCCTCATGAGCGTTTCATTTAATTTTGATGATATAAAATAAATTGTATTCCTGACTTTTAAAATATATTATTTACGTGTTTTAAATTTAGCGCTCTATTATTTTAACAGGTAGTGTCACCTACAAGGAAAAAAATAATGTGTAGCAAAAATCAAATACACAAAGTATAAAATCGATATAGGTTGTGTATAGTACATTTGTCCCTTGTGTATGAAGAGCTAAAAAAATAAGTAAGTGCCACTTTCGTATTTTTTTAGCCCTTGATTTATTAATAAAATTAGATTTTTAATACTAATAAAATTTCTAAAAGTTTATATAATTTTATTTACAAACCACGCGTACTAGGCTATCACTTGATATGAAATATAGAATAAGTTGATGTAATTCTGAAGCTAATAAAAAAACCCGGTATTGATACGTCAATTTTATAGACCAAATACAAACTCAACATCTGCACGTCCACGTAATTTTTTTTAAAGGAGCAATATAAAATCATCATCATCATTACAGTCTTTCACAAGTCCACTACTGAACATAGGCTTCCCACAAGGAATGCCACATGATGAGCCACCTGCATCCATCGACTTCCTGCATGTCTTACCAGGTCGTCACTCCATCTAGTGGGGGGACGCCCTACACTTCGCCTGCCGGTTCGAGGCTGCCACTCGAGAACCTTTCTTCCCCATCGGTTGTCTCTTGTGCCTAATTTTGCGTTGAAGTCTCCCATTAACACCGTATTGTAGGTTTTGGAGGAATGCATGGCTCTAGATATATCCTCATACATTTCCTCCTCCTCGGGATGTGCCGAGGTTGGTGCGTAAACCTGTATGACCTTCAGCGAATACCGTTTGGTGATTCTGAGTATAAGGTACGCAACCCTCGTCGATACACTCTCAATCTTTACAACGTTGTTAACGAGAGACTTGTGGACGATAAATCCAACACCTCCTTGAGACAGATGGTCGCCCTCCCGCTGATAGAACAAGTTGCCGGATTCGAGGATTACCGTGTCCTCCCCCTCTTTTCGGACTTCGTATAATTCTATAATATTCCAGTTCAACTTATCTATCTCTTCTTCCAGCTCCAGGATCTTTTCGTCAGTCCTCAGTGTGCGTGCGTTATAAGTTGCCAGGTAGAGTCGTCGTAGGTGGCAACCAAACCTCCACCGGAGGTTCTTAGCACCCCCTGCCCCGCCGTTACCATGGTTGCCACCGTAGCCAGGAATAGCGGGGCCGCCGGGGACTGGGGGCCGTTTATTAGTGTCATTGCTCATGGGGGTATATTGCCATAGTTGCCACGATTGGCGAGTGGGTTGGCAAACGCAGTTTTTTTATTACTTTTTACTGTTATCGGAAAGATGCTGCCGCCCATCCCCTGCCTTAGTCTCCCTCTGTCGCCTTTTTCGACACCCACGGGAAGATATGGGGTAGTTAGTATTCTTACCCGCCACTACACGGGGTATAAAACAATATAAAATACAATATAAAATGATTTTTTAGAAAATATAAGGTGGATTAATTAGAGTGTTTTCTTGAGTTACGGCTACTCATATTATCATATAAGTGCAATATGGTTATGACAGAGGCATTTTAAGAACACAAAATTGCTTGACCTTGATGTGTCCAGAGTAACGCACTACCTAATAAATAACGCTTCGCGTTACGAGGCGTGCAATAATACTTGTTGAAAGTCACTCTTTTGTTTAATTTACTACTCGTTCCGAAAAAACCTCTATCCTGGAAAGACGAAGCAAGAAACCCAGCGGGAGTTAAGAAAACAGCTAAATTAAATTTCTATTAATTCGTAACATTAATATTGTAAAATGTGATAATTTTTGTCGTTCATGTAGAAAATCTTTGTATCTGCTCAATAACAAAGCATTTAGACAGCTAAACATTTTTTTTATTTATTAAAACATCTCCAACATTTGTATTCATTGTTAAAATTATATTATACACACATACGTAGATAGGGTATTACTTTAAATGCTACAAACTGTTATAGGTCGTTACTACATGCACTGGAGTAAATATCAAGAATAACACATAGTTACAGCTAACTAAAACGTTAAAAAAAATCCAAAAACTTAATCTATTACATTTGCGTTATGTTTGAGTAGTTCTTTTCTGAGCTTGTTAGGTGAATCGTTTTTAATATTAAATGCATGGGAAAGTTCATTGAACAATTTACTTAACTATCTAGGTTTCGGGGAATTTCCGGCAAATACCGTTCTACGAAGAGGTGGTCTAATAGTAATTATTCTTTTACGGGGGTATCTGTGAGATACGCGAAATTTTATCCTATTCAGTAATTGAGGGCAGTTAATTTTATTATTTTATAATTTGCTTAAGAAGAGTAAGTCGGATATTTGTCTACGATTAGCCTAGATATAATTTTGAAAAAAGATAGCTGTTTCTTATACGATGAAAGTTTATTTTTTGAAATTCGTTTTGAGTATACTAAATGCCACATGAATCTTTTTTATATTCGTTCTAAGCATAAAGAATGCATTGTATAATGTGGTCTCCAAACTACAGAACAGTATTCTAAGATACTTCATATTAAATTATTGTGGAGCATTATTTTGGTTTTATTGCTGCGGAAAAATTTAATGTTTCTGTAAAGAAATCCTAACATTTTGGTGGCACGTTTTGTAATATATTCCATATGCGGTATAAATGTGACTTTGCTGTCAAGTATGACGCCTAAATCCCTGGTCTCTTTTAGTTCCTGTAAATTATTATAGCTTATGTGATAACTGTAGTAAATTAAATTCATTTTCCGAGCAAATTTTACGTAGAAAAATTTTTTTGCATTGAGATCCATCTTATTCAAATTACACAATTGAAAAAGATTGTCGAGATCACACTGGAGTTTACGTGCATCATCTGTGGTTTCAATTATTCTGCAAAATTTTAAGTCATCAGTATACATGTAAGATTCAGAAAATTTCAGGCACAAAGACAGATCTTTAATATAAATATTAAACAAAAGTGGGCCCAGGTGAGATCCCTGTTGTACGCCAGATGTGATTTAACGCAAACTCGACTTAAGGCCATTGATGACCACATAAAAAGTACGATCGGTTAGATAAGACCAAATCCATTTCATTAAACCATTACAGATTCTATATGCGGAGTTTTTTTAGGAGTACACTATGTGAAATGCGATCAAAAGCCTTACTAAAATCCGTGTATATGACGTCAACTTGTTTATTGGCATCAAGTGCTTCATAAAGAGTTTCAGTGAAGCTTACCAGATTAGAGTTTGTTGATCTACATTGAACAAATCCGTGTTGCTTATCAATAAGTACTTGCTTAAGATGATCTTGTAGAAATGGGCATATCAAGGCTTCAAAAATTTTAGAAAATGATGACAGTATTGAAATGGGCCTGTAGTTTTTGACTGAATCCTCATTTCCCGATATATGAATAGGAATAACCTTTGCAATTTTTCATTTAGCCGTATTAGCCATTTTAATCGTACCTACGGGTTAAATGTATAATAATGAGGAATTTATTTTTTGAGTTGAGTTATCTTTAGGTAATACACAAGTCATAATTAATGACGTCTATTATTTTCACTTTACAATCTGAGATTTTGCAAATACAACGTGGATTTGTTTTGTTCACGAATTACGCCTGACCGATAATGTGCAGAGAGGTGTAAGACAGGGTGACGTAATGTCCCCGAAACTCCTCACCGCTGCATTAGAAGACGTTTTCAAGCTTCTGGACTGGAAAGGATAAGGTATTAACATCAACGGCTAGTACATCACTCACCTTCGATTTGCCGACTATATAGTCCTTATGGCAATCTCTGGAGGACCTAAGCGCTATGCTCAATGACCTCAATAGTGCCTTCCAACGGATAGGTCTTAAGATGAACATGGACAAAACAAAGATCATGTATAACGCCCATGTCACACCTATGCCGGTAGTTGTTGGGAGCACTAAGCTCGAAGTTGTTAACGAGTATGTTTACCTGGGACAAATAGTCCGATTAGGTAAGTCCAACCTCGACCGAGAGGTCAGTCGACGGATTCAACTCGGCTGAGCAGCGTTCGGGAAATTACGGCACATCTTCTCGTGAGGTATACCTCAAAACTTGAAAACGAGACTGTACAACCATTGCGTGTTGCCAGTGATAACCTATGGAACTGAGACGTGGTCCTTCACTGCTGGCCGGATGAGGATGTTCAAAGTTGCTCAGCGAGCTATGGAGAGGGCTATGCTCGGAGTTTCTCTGCGTGATAAACTTTGAAATGAGGATATCCGCAGTAGAACCAGAGTGACCGACTTAGCCCAACGGATTAGTAAGCTGAAGTGGCAGTGGGCCGGCCATATAGTTCGAAGAACCGACAACCGATGGGGAAAAAAGTTTCTCGAATGGCGGTCTCGTACCGGCGGACGAAGTGTAGGGCGTCCCCCACTAGATGGAGTGACGACCTGGTAAGACATGCAGGTGGCTCAGGACTGTGCTTTCTGGCATTCCTTGGGGGAGGCCTATGTTCAACAGTGGACTTGTCAGGGGCTGTAATGATGATGATAATGATAGTGTGTATATGTATGATATCGCCTATCTTTCTCGCACTAACATACGCGTACACTATGCTCTTTCTCTTTTGCATTGTCAATCTATTCTAACGTTAGTTTATAATAAAACTATGGTTATAGCATAGCATTGGTTAATATAGAATTATACTGATAACTAAATATATAAATAAATAAGTGAATATATAAATATACCATTGAATAAATAAATTAATTAATTAATAAACGAATGAAGTAATGAATAAACGAATATATGCATGAGTGACTGAGTAAATGGAGGAATAAATTAATGCATGAATGAATTACTAAATAAATGAATGAATAAATTAACAAGCGGATGAATAAATGAATGCATGAATTGATGATTAAATGGATGAATAAATAAATTAAATAAAATCTCTTTATTTCGGACAATTATCCATAATTGTTAGTAGTTACAAGGAAGTTATAGCTATGTTAGTAATAATTAGGTGCAGACACGAATAATTAGTTTAAGTACAAACCAGGCCTGCCTGAGGCACTAGGTTTAGGCACATGCATATTCACCCAGTGTCCCATAATAGGACAATCTGCTTTGTTACAAATATTCAATATGGTATTCAGTATGGCCTTCAGTATGGTGTTGGAGCTACCACTTATTCTGCGCATGAGCGAGGCGACCCGTTTGCGCAACACCGTCTCGAAGCTATCAGTGCGCGCTTGCGCTTGCGCTGCAGAATCGCGGCAGACCCAACATCACCCTAAAGGCATTATTATACTGTACTCGGAGTGCGCTGAAAGCCCCCTGCGTATAATCAACCCACAGATTACACGTGTACATTGTTTGGCAGAAGGCTTTAAACAATGTTATTTTAACTGCTGTGGTACATCGTGAAAATCTGCGGGCTAACATATTGCAGTGGACTGCCAACGCTCTCCTTTCCCTCTCCATATCACAGTCATCCCTCAGTCTCTCGTTCACAATGTGACCGAGATGGTTGAAGGACGACCCGCGATGTAATAAATAAGTAAATAATTGAGCTCTTGGCTTGGTCGGGTTGTGTGGTCACGTGCAGACGGAGCAGCTGCACGTGAAGATGTCGCACTCGAGCGAGGACTCGCTGACGGCGGCGGCGTGGCAGCGCGGCGGCGACAAGTTCGTCTGCGGCGGCGCGCGCGGCCAGTTCTACCAGTGCGGCGCGGACGGCGCGCTGCTCAACTCGTGGGACGGCGTGCGGGTCAACGCCCTGGCGTGTCGCAGCGACGGCCGCGTGCTGGCCGCCGACACGCACCACCGCGTGCGCAGCTACGACTTCACCGACCTCACCGACCGCAACGTGTACGTACTCACACTCACACTCACCCGCACTGCACTCAACAGTTCTACCAGTGCGGCGCGGACGGCGCGCTGCTCAACTCGTGGGACGGCGTGCGGGTCAACGCCCTGGCGTGTCGCAGCGACGGCCGCGTGCTGGCCGCCGACACGCACCACCGCGTGCGCAGCTACGACTTCACCGACCTCACCGACCGCAACGTGTACGTACTCACACTCACACTCACCCGCACTGCACTCAACAGTTCTACCAGTGCGGCGCGGACGGCGCGCTGCTCAACTCGTGGGACGGCGTGCGGGTCAACGCCCTGGCGTGTCGCAGCGACGGCCGCGTGCTGGCCGCCGACACGCACCACCGCGTGCGCAGCTACGACTTCACCGACCTCACCGACCGCAACGTGTACGTACTCACACTCACACTCACCCGCACTGCACTCAACAGTTCTACCAGTGCGGCGCGGACGGCGCGCTGCTCAACTCGTGGGACGGCGTGCGGGTCAACGCCCTGGCGTGTCGCAGCGACGGCCGCGTGCTGGCCGCCGACACGCACCACCGCGTGCGCAGCTACGACTTCACCGACCTCACCGACCGCAACGTGTACGTACTCACACTCACACTCACCCGCACTGCACTCAACAGTTCTACCAGTGCGGCGCGGACGGCGCGCTGCTCAACTCGTGGGACGGCGTGCGGGTCAACGCCCTGGCGTGTCGCAGCGACGGCCGCGTGCTGGCCGCCGACACGCACCACCGCGTGCGCAGCTACGACTTCACCGACCTCACCGACCGCAACGTGTACGTACTCACACTCACACTCACCCGCACTGCACTCAACAGTTCTACCAGTGCGGCGCGGACGGCGCGCTGCTCAACTCGTGGGACGGCGTGCGGGTCAACGCCCTGGCGTGTCGCAGCGACGGCCGCGTGCTGGCCGCCGACACGCACCACCGCGTGCGCAGCTACGACTTCACCGACCTCACCGACCGCAACGTGTACGTACTCACACTCACACTCACCCGCACTGCACTCAACAGTTCTACCAGTGCGGCGCGGACGGCGCGCTGCTCAACTCGTGGGACGGCGTGCGGGTCAACGCCCTGGCGTGTCGCAGCGACGGCCGCGTGCTGGCCGCCGACACGCACCACCGCGTGCGCAGCTACGACTTCACCGACCTCACCGACCGCAACGTGTACGTACTCACACTCACACTCACCCGCACTGCACTCAACAGTTCTACCAGTGCGGCGCGGACGGCGCGCTGCTCAACTCGTGGGACGGCGTGCGGGTCAACGCCCTGGCGTGTCGCAGCGACGGCCGCGTGCTGGCCGCCGACACGCACCACCGCGTGCGCAGCTACGACTTCACCGACCTCACCGACCGCAACGTGTACGTACTCACACTCACACTCACCCGCACTGCACTCAACAGTTCTACCAGTGCGGCGCGGACGGCGCGCTGCTCAACTCGTGGGACGGCGTGCGGGTCAACGCCCTGGCGTGTCGCAGCGACGGCCGCGTGCTGGCCGCCGACACGCACCACCGCGTGCGCAGCTACGACTTCACCGACCTCACCGACCGCAACGTGTACGTACTCACACTCACACTCACCCGCACTGCACTCAACAGTTCTACCAGTGCGGCGCGGACGGCGCGCTGCTCAACTCGTGGGACGGCGTGCGGGTCAACGCCCTGGCGTGTCGCAGCGACGGCCGCGTGCTGGCCGCCGACACGCACCACCGCGTGCGCAGCTACGACTTCACCGACCTCACCGACCGCAACGTGTACGTACTCACACTCACACTCACCCGCACTGCACTCAACAGTTCTACCAGTGCGGCGCGGACGGCGCGCTGCTCAACTCGTGGGACGGCGTGCGGGTCAACGCCCTGGCGTGTCGCAGCGACGGCCGCGTGCTGGCCGCCGACACGCACCACCGCGTGCGCAGCTACGACTTCACCGACCTCACCGACCGCAACGTGTACGTACTCACACTCACACTCACCCGCACTGCACTCAACAGTTCTACCAGTGCGGCGCGGACGGCGCGCTGCTCAACTCGTGGGACGGCGTGCGGGTCAACGCCCTGGCGTGTCGCAGCGACGGCCGCGTGCTGGCCGCCGACACGCACCACCGCGTGCGCAGCTACGACTTCACCGACCTCACCGACCGCAACGTGTACGTACTCACACTCACACTCACCCGCACTGCACTCAACAGTTCTACCAGTGCGGCGCGGACGGCGCGCTGCTCAACTCGTGGGACGGCGTGCGGGTCAACGCCCTGGCGTGTCGAACTCGTTACTAATATCACACACTGTTACTAACATAAACACTCACGTCTGTCACCCAGAGGGGTAGACAGAAACTACGGACAATTTGACACGATCCTCACACGCCTCTCTCGCCTCCTTTACATCCGTATACTACTATTTAATCCATTTAATAAGCTATTAACCAGCTACTCTCATATTGGTCCTTTGAGCCGGATCTGAACCAGCGACTTATGGATAGTATATAACGTATCCCGGAACTCAACATCAAGCGGACGCGGCGGAAATATAAGATACGTATTATACCATTTTGAAATTTAGGATGAATGCGCCATTTTTTAAAGTAATTTGCCTTGGGTAGTACAATATGTTGTTATTTAATGAAGAGCCAAAGTTAGGTGATCTTATTTTTTCAACCACAACTAAAAGAAACTACTTTAATTGAGAAAGGACAAAGGCAGACTTTCATACATAAAATTAGTTGAGAAGAAATGGTAGCGTCTATATACCAAAAATATCTTAAAATGTTAAGCGTCAGTCCCTTAATAACTCTGTCAAAGAATTTTGTCCTGAGAAGGCGTCAATAAAAGATATTTACATTTGAACCTTTTAGGTTATGTCCTATTTCACTTGGAAAAAGTCATGGTTCCTGTGGTTGTTTGATGTTAACTTAATACATAATACATAATTGAGTTTTTAGATTATTGTATCTCTATTATACTCGTATATTTGCATACTATAAATGTATATTTCTGGCATGGCTCCAGGGCCTTTGTATCATAGTGACATTCTCAGAAGGGCTAGAACCCAGAGCCGTAAAGCCAGTAAAAAACAGTGACATTTTATTTTAGCTAGTGTTGGCATAACATTAAATGGAATTGTTACATAGTACTATGATTGAGATAATGTGTTATTGTAGGAAATTCTTTGTAAGACTTATTCTCAGCCATATCACTTTTATTTCTATTATTACTGATAGTACAGTTATTACTAATAAAAACTTAATATAAAAATATTTTGTGTGTTGTGTTGGTAGTCTTACAAAGTGTATACGAAAATAGTATGAATATACTAAATGGCAACATTTGAATAGAGTAAAATTATTGAAGTCATTTGATATTTCCAAAAATGTTTGTTTTTTTCTGTGGCTTTAATTAAAATAAATTTTTATTTGTAAAATCATAGAAAAATAATAAAACTCATTTTATATATAACTTATTTCTAGACGCTATAATTTTTGTCAACTATTTTTCTGCCATTGCTCTTTGTGGTCACAATACCTAATTATATATTTAAGGAGTCGATTTTCCTCATTTTCATTAATTTGTCAGTTATAACTGAACTAACTGATATGGATATTTTTTTTTCGAAAAAATCGTCTTATTTCATCTATGATCAAGTGAAGAATTACACCTCACAACTCCTATTAGACAAGTTTCTTAGCATCGTACATTTTATAAGCATTATAGGTGTTTTGCGTTATGTGCAGAGTAATTAGGATAAATAAAAAACACGTATGGCTTGTGCAACGGTTCGTTTACTCAACTTACACTAACATTTCATGGCTCCATCCACTAAAAACATGTTTTTTTATATTAAAAAATGAAAATTGTGCAAAATTTCTTACTTTTTTTTACATAAAACATATGAGCTCTTGTTAAGGTACATTAAAAGCTTTTTTTATTGTTTTTTTGATCTGTATCCATTTTATTTTCACATTACTTTTTTAATCGTTAACTACTGTATATGGACCATTAAATAAATTGTCCGAGAAGATGGACCTGTCTTATTTCTTATTCAAATTAAATTTCTTAAAGCATCACAAACTTTAGTCTGATGTTACGTGGTTGGTGTACAGGATCCAGGAGGAGCACGCGGTGATGGCGATGACACTGAACGCGGCCGATACCCTACTGTTGCTCAACGTTGCCAACCAGGGCGTACACCTCTGGGACATACGTAAGTTGTACCTCATCATTATCATTATTACAGCCTTTCATAAGTCCGCTGCATAGGCCTCCCCCAAGGAATGCCACAAAGCACGGTCCTGAGCCACCTGCATCCATAGACTTCCTGCATGTCTCACCAGGTCGTCACTCAATCTAGTGCGGGGTCGCCGTACACTTCGCCTACCGGTACGAGGTTGCCACTCGAGAACCTTTCTTCCCCATCGGTTGTCGGTTCTTCGAGCTATATGGCCGGCCCACTGCCACTTCAGCTTACTAATCCGCTGGGATATCTTCGGAATCGTGTCGAATAAGACTTGCTCTTGGATCGTTACCCACACTTGCGTGTGGCTCCAACGATGACGTGTACAGCTGCCCATATAACCTCTCAATCTCACTCAAAATCTCAGGTGTCCCGGAAACGATGCTGCAGTTGGCTCTTTCTGGCAGCTTTGACAGTTGGCTCTTTCTGGCAGACAGATCTCTGGCAAAGACTTTGGAACCTTGGTTCCGCTCGATCGCTTCTTCAATACAAGCTGTATTGAAGTTGCGCAAGTCCCGCCGCATGCATTTGGAGATCTGTCTGTTCAGTTGCCTGTATGCTGTCAAATCTGTTGAAGAATGTAGCTTTATCTCCCGTCTAACAGCCATGAGATTAAGAGTGTGATCGGAGAGTTTTTGTGTTCTTCTGCGGCGGGTCTTGCAGAACTTAGCTCCGACCACATGGACAGTTCCCACGAGCTTGTCATTCATATCGTCCACTTCATTGCAGTTGTACCTTACGAACGCCAATTAATATAAATTAACGTCTTGTGGCATTCTCTTCCAATCAATTCTAGGCGATACGAGAATTGGTGTTAGATTTTACAAATAGCGAAGTCACTACACAGTGTAAATAAATATATGTGGTAGAGCCACAAATTGGTCTGGTCGACCTAGGTTAGACTACGCTCTCACAAAATACCTCGTATGGTGAGTGTAAAGAACCGGAGACCCTTTTTACTGGTTATGAGGCATTCCATCTTAGTTCTCAGGGGTGGCAACTCATCTGCATTTTGTTTCTTAATAGAGGATAGATGTATATCAATGGGTCACAGCATTCACTTACCGTCAAGTGGGATGTGTGCTCACTTATTCTATAAAAAAACAAACTAAATGCCCCGCTTAACCGGTCCTTCGAGTCGGACATCAGATGTAATTATCTAGCAAGTAATTTTGGCAGGTGCTCGGGCGTTAGTGCGTCGGTTTCGGGGCCTGAGCCAGGGTCACTTCACCATACACGCGTGCTTCGGTGGCGCTCAGCAAGACTTCATCGCGTCCGGCAGCGAGGACAATAAGGTGCGCTGATCGATATTGTCCTTCATAAATTGTATACTAGTCCAATTACGTGAATATAATAATAATAATGTCCGCGACACCGAATTTCGAAATTTAATAACCATGTAATGGTGATGCAAGAAGTATCCACTACCTCATATAGTCTCGTGAAGGTCGTAAGACGAGACAGAGAAAGTGAAACGGGAGATGGGCGTCAGCATCAAAATTACTTATACTAACCTCCTAACTCTGGGCAGCAACTGAGAATTTCTTAACAGAAAATCCAATAACTGATTTACTCCGACCCGGAATTTGAACCCAGGTCTTGATCCACTGAGTTGACAACGTACGTATAGCCTTCTTTGAAGTTGGCTGCAGATGTCCAAAGATTGCATTAGTACCATCAGCCAGACTGTAAGCTTATCGCTTTAGTTTTATATATATATTTAAATTTTATTTCTTGTTAAAATATTGTACTAATTTTGATCATGATTGACTATTTATGACTTGATAAATGGGTTTGGCTTTTAAACGTCTTTTAAACTTTAGAGGTTAAGTAGTTTATCTAGTATAGTGACTGATATTACATTTACCAGGTGTAGGTGGCTTAACTATATAGTGATAAATTTTAACCGCTGTTCGGTGAAAACTGACGGGCGAGTGTACCCGACAGGTTTACATCTGGCACATGAACGGCGAGGAGCCGATCGCGGTGGTGTCGGGCCACACGCGCTGCGTGAACGCCGTGTCCTGGAACCCGGTGCACCACGACGTGCTGGTCTCCGCGTCCGACGACTTCACGCTGCGCCTGTGGGGGCCCCGCGAGGCGCGCGACCCCCGCGACCCCCCGAGCCCGCCCGCCGCCCGCGACCCCCCGCCGCGCTCCTAGCCCCCGCGCCCCTCGCGCCCCACGCGCCCCCCGCCCGGCTTCTCCTGGAGCGAGCTGCTGCAGCACGGCCCGGCGCCGGCCCGCTTCTACCGATGATCCCGCACGTACGTGCGTCTCCTTCGCCTTTCCAATAGATACGTTCAAATTATGTCCTCTGTTTATTTATTTTACAAATAAACGGATTATACACGGCAAACGACACTTACGAATAGATAACGTTATATTGCATTTTTCCAGCTAAGTGTTTTTGAAATATTTTCGGCATAATCAAGGGATGTTACAGTATTTCAGGGGTACATAACACTTGGGTCATTACAAAAAAATATTTATTAAAAAAAACAAATATGATACTCGTGTCGATTGTTTTTAGACATTGTACAGGAATAACATTTAAAGACGTACGACGTGTTTCTAGTGGTCAACTAAACATCTTATAGCTTTTCTTTAGATAATCAAAATTTAAATTAATTTGAAGTAAATATTTGTGAGGAAATAACATGGAGTGTACTATTTCAACTAGCAGGTTCAAATCACATGATATGAACTACCCAAATGATACAAAGCAATATGAAAAAGTGTATATACATTAGTTGTATAAATACATCTCACATTTTTTGAATACCTTTAAAATGTACGAATAAGGTATTAATTTTTTCATATTGATAACATTTGTACTAGAATTGAAAGATAATGTATAGTTCATTTCAAATAGGATGGCAGGATTCCACTTGAGACTTAGCAATTACAGCTGTAATGTTAATCTATTGTTGTGTGATTATTTTATTGCTTTAACACTTGAAGTTAAGCATCTGTTGATAATACTGAACCAGTATAGCTGGAATGACGAATTTTGGTACTTGAACATTAAAACAAATTAAATTGTAGATAAAAAATCTTTATTACTTTTAACTTAACTATTTTAAATACTTATAACAACTTGTTAATATTTTGTTTAATCAATCACTCTGAAGAACATTCATCGGTATCTGTGTCGTACACGTATTTATTATACGTGTGAGGACACAGATACCGATGAATGTTCTTCAGAGTGATTGATTAAACAAAATATTAACAAGTTGTTATAAGTATTTAAAATAGTTAAGTTAAAAGTAATAAAGATTTTTTATCTACAATTTAATTTGTTTTAATGTTCAAGTACCAAAATTCGTCATTCCAGCTATACTGGTTCAGTATTATCAACAGATGCTTAACTTCAAGTGTTAAAGCAATAAAATAATCACACAACAATAGATTAACATTACAGCTGTAATTGCTAAGTCTCAAGTGGAATCCTGCCATCCTATTTGAAATGAACTATAACAATATACTAATGTTCAATACCGTCTTAATTCTCTCAAACACAGAGTTAATTGCATTGTATTGTTACCACACCTGCAACAATTTTGACAACACTAACATAACCTATTTGTGCCTGAACATTTTACATAAACCAACATGCAGAACTATAATATACATATAGTTCTATCTCTACAAATATTGTCTAGCATATCAAGGGACACTAACTCCACTGTTTTTTTTTTGTAACTGAATACTATCAAAACCACTTACACAACTCGTTAAACATTTTTATACTCTTACTTCTCCTTTATCCTGTTCTTCCTACTTTTGAACAATATCTACAAACCTCTTCATTGAAACTTAGTATTTTTTAATGCCCAGAAGAGAATTTACGACGTAGTAATGCTAAAAGGATACTATACTATCCACAAAAAATATTTTGGCGATATTAACGTTCAAACTTGGATCGGAATCTAGTGAAACAGTTAGGCTTAAATTTTTCTTGTTTTTTTTTTTTAATATTTATTTGCGTTGTTCTTTTCTTATCCAAATTGTTTTTTTTCTGTCTTATATTAAAGTATACAGAGCAAGGATTGATTTTATATATGAGTTGATAACTCATGTTTTGATTGATTGTCGGTTGGACCCTGTTTTCTACCGACTTCAAAAAAGAGCCGGCACTCAATTCGATTGTATGTTTTTTTTATGTGTTACCTCATAACTTCTTACTGGGTGAACCGATTTCGATGATCCTTTTTTTATTTGAAAGCTGTTGCTTCCCATGTGGTCCCATATAAATTTGATCAAGGTCTGACCAATAGTTTTTTGAGTTATTCTTAATAATTTATATTGAAGTCGGTTGTACAAAATTTTTAATTATCATACCTAAGGCCATTTAGCCCAATGATTGCCAGTAAAAAAAAGCATCAAAAGATTATAATCACACTGCCAGCATATTCAAGCATTTTTAATATTACTTGAATATGAAACACACAATGGAGTATGACTATATTACATGGTGTTTGAGTATTTCTTAACAAAAACCTGGAGACCACTAAATTTAATCAACTCTCACATTGTTGTCAGTGTTGTAAGTACTTATTATTGTACTGTGACAAATATATATTGAGATGTGTGTGAAATCTTTGAAGTAATAATATCTTGTGATATAGATTTTTTCGTAAAATCTCAATGATTAACAAAAACTATTTTATCGTACATTGCTCGATTCGCTGTCGTGTACATAATATATCTTAGAATATGTACGTAACGTGTTGCATTAAATTTGTATAATGCTAGTTATTTCTACAAATTAATAAAATTGAAGTGTCTGTTTGTAATGTCAAAATAACAGCTTTTTACGAAATACATATGAAAGTATATACGGTACTAATAACAATAACACAATTTTTAACATTTTTGTCTGTCTCCTTTTGTCTCCAAAACGGCTGGACCGACAGCAAAATTGAAACCCAAAATTACACGCGGGCGAAATCGCGGGGAACAGCTAGTAACATAATAAAATGTAAAAGTTACCCGTTCAAAATTATTCAAAAGTCCCAAAATAAAAATTGAGTGATTTTAGATCAAACCTAACGAATTTATAACGCATACGTATTTATATTGAGCGTGCAATATGCCGTGCCATTGAACAAGTGCAATAAATATAGACAAAAAATAAAGATTGAAATGATGCGTTAAGGTCAACCGAGACATCGCCGTAAACGGTATTTATAGCGTTAGACTTAGATGTAACAAGAGAAAATTTCGTAGTTTTATATAATCGTGGAGAAATATCATACATGTGAGTAATGTAATATTAGCTGCGAATTCACAGCGACATTGTTCGGGCACAAAATGAAGACTTTATTTTGTGCTTCGGGCGCAACTTCGGAGAGTTGCAGGAACAAGGTTTATATACTCAAGATAAGTTGTAGATGCTGCGGAGGGTCGAGTGGGCTGCGTAGATAAGTTAGAAATAGGTTAGAATAGCCGAGGATTAAATGAAATTAATTTCTATATATATCAATACTTGAGAATATTTTTCACAGGGGAAACTAATCGATTTTAAAATTAAATTGTATTAAACAGACTCAAATCATTCGGTATTGTTATTTCATGTTGCCCTGCGTGCTTGAAGAAGCTTGGGCAATGGCTTACCGCGATGAAACTTTAAATTTGTCTTTGTATTGTTAAGTGACGCCCTCTACAGGTGGCCCTCCGCGGATCGCGGGATAGGCTTAAGATTTGAGTTTAAATTATGTAAGTAATTATAACGCTCAGAATTAACACGACGCCGTCATCGGCTCTATTTTTGTACCGAACTTTCGAATCTCACACGAGGTTGTCAGATGTACTTGGATTTCTAAAACGTCATTCTTGACTTTTGCTTGGATGTAACATTCATTCTGAAGAGATACTTGGGGCCACCGAAACAGGCCTAGACAATAGTCCAACTCGGTCTCTTTGGTTATGTACTCCTAGCATCATGTTAGGTTGTAGGCTTGTACGTATTCAAAACAATTAAAAAATTTCTGTTGTCAGCCATTAATGCTAAAAGTACTATATTTTAGGTTGTTAAACACTTGTTGACGGATCTCCGGGCAATATTACGCATGTCGTGATTGTGTTTTATTTTTAGATACATTAGAGTGTGTAGCTTGATGCAGTACGCACAAAGCCGAGCACAGACGCGCCCTCCTTGTAATCATTATGCTTGGGCCACACTACAACTAACGCAGATCTAGTATTTAAGTGTGGTAATAGCATAATATAGGCTAATGAGGGCATTCTCGACTTTCTGCCACCAGGGCGGCGCCACTTTAGAATAAGATGAATATTTGACAGACTTCATGGCGAGAGAAGTGAATTTGTTATAAAAGTGTAGAGATTATTGTTTTTTTGTAAAAAATTAAGAAATTGGTAAACAAAGTGTCAAAAAATTTAAAACACAGCTCTGTGGCATTGTTTTGTGTTACTTACAATAGAAATCGAAAAACTTTATTCAAACGCAACTTTTCTCTATGTGACTATCTGCGTAGCAAATAAGTTCACCAAAGTTCCAACTAGCGACGCCTGGTGAGCGTAAGATTACTAGCCCTCATTTGTACAGTGTTGCCCGATTTGTGAGCAGTCATCCCGGAGGTCCCTCTGTACCAAGTATCAGGCAATAATTTAAGTGGGGTGGTAAGCAAGTACAAAGCGCTCGGTTAAATTACGTAAACTTGCGTATTGTGCCGCGACGTACGTGTGGGGGTCCGCCCCCTGTTTCGATTGTTATAAATAAATATAATTATTATATCAATAAATTTTTTATTGTAAAATTTAACTTGGTTTCATTTGACACTCCCTGTTAACTGTGATATGTATGTATATTTAAATATATTATATATATTTTTTTTATAGGATAAGGGTGACAAACGAGCACACAGTCCACCTGATGGTAAGTGGTTGCTGCGGCCCATAGACATCTACATCTATCCTCTGTTACAAATCAAAATGTAGATGCGTTGTCACCCGTGAGGACTAAGATGGAATGCCTCGTTTCCAGTAAAAAAGGCCTCCGGCCACCTGCACTCACCAAGTGAAACGCAGAGGTAAACCTCTACTTCACGCTACGCGCGTATTCTGTGAGGTCGTGGTACCACCCCGTTCGAGCCGACCCATCCGTGCGACAGCAAAAGCTGCCGCGTGGCTCTACCACTGTTAGAAATATAAAAAATATATGTTGTGTATGTGAGTACTACCTGAAATCCACTACCGCATATCGTCCCGTGACTGTCGTAAGCACGTTACGTTAGAAGCAAGCGAGGGAAATTGAAACAGGTGATGGGCAGCAACATTTTCCTGACAACAAGAACAATTCGAAATAATAATAAACTGCGCTTCCCAATTCTCCTGCCAACCGTGGCAACTAAGGCAAAATCCCCACATGAAGCAATTTTTGGGGAAGGTTATTTCCAGCAGTGAACTTTTATTGGCTGTAATGGATATGGATGGATGTTTTTTTTTTCATAGAATAACACTGATAAACGAGCACACAGTCCACCTGATGGTAAGTGGTTGCTGTGGCCCACAGACATCTACATCTATCTTCGTTTGCGAATTAAAAAGCAGATGCGTTGTTAGTCGTGAGGACTAAGATAGAATGCCTCTTATGCAGTAAAAGGGTCTCCGGTTCTCTACTACACTCACCATATGAAACAGCAGCATTAAACTGCTATTTTAAGCTGGAGTTCTGTGAGAGCGTGGTCCTTCCCCGGTCGAGCCGACCCATTCGTTTATACCATTAATATAGCTGCAGCATGGCTCTACCACGTAGAAAATGATGTATGTACTAAGTATATATAATCATCCATGCATATGAGGGCGACACTGAAAGTTTTTAGAAATGGCCGCTTGTAAACGATATATTAAAAAAATAAGGCCAAATTTTGTAAATTGTACTCTTTGTCAATATTATTGCGTATGTATTTTATTAGTCAATTGTTTACAATTTGGCGGCAAATTGAAATTTATCTGTGTTACTTCAGCATGAATTTAACACGAGAAAATTTTGGTACAATGATTTTTCATGACCTTCGATGTCATTTAAGTCAACAAGAAAGTTAGGATAGACTTCGATTGGCCTTTGACGATTAAGCCCATCTCGAGCCACTGTTTACAACTGTTTTAATGAGTTTAAACGTGGTCGCACTAATCTCACCGATGATCTACGTGAGGTACGGCCTTCTACGGCGACGACTGAAGATAACATCAGTGTTGTGCGGCGTATGATAGAGACTGACAAAAGAGTGACTTATCAGCAGGTTCGGACAAGTTTAGGCATCGGTATGAGTCAAGTGCACAAAGTCCTTCATGAACATTTAGCGTTCAAGAAGCTTTGTGCCCGGTGTATACCTCATAATTTGACAGAGGCCCAAAAACTCCGTCGTGTTGATTGGTGTCGTGAAATGGTTCAAACATCTCAAATGCTGTGTTTCACATACTCACGGGTGACGAAAGCTGGATTTATTATTATGATCCTGAAACTAAGAGACAGTCTGCTGTCTGGGTGTTTACTTCCGAGGACTTGCCAACTAAAGTGAACAGAGGTCGAAGCGTGGGAAAAAATATGGCGGCCGCGTTCTTCAGAAGAACAGGTCATTACGCAACAATTGTTTTAGAGGATCGGAAAACAGTTACTGCAGAGTGGTACACTAACAATTGTTTGCCACTTGTCTTGGAAAAAGTTCAAGAGAAACGACCTCGCAGTAGGATCCTCCTTCACCATGACAACGCCTCGTCGCAAACCGCCAAGCAATCAATCGACTACTTGGCGACAACAGATGTGGAATTACTGGATCACCCATCCTATAGCCCCAAACTCGCACCTTGCGATTTTTATTTATTTCCATAAATAAAAGAAAAAATTCGAGGAAAACGTTTTATGGACGCCAAGGAAGCAGTGGCTGCGTTTCAAAATGCCGTCGAAAAGACCCCTAAGGGCGAGCGGGCAAAGTGCTTTTCTCAGTGGTTCCATCGGATGCAGCGATGTATTGATGTAAATGGACACTATTTTGAAAAGATGTAATAAAACGAATAACTTGCTAGTTTGTTCAGCTTTTGATTTTCTAAGAACTTTCAGTGTCACCCTCGTATATATATGGATGGAGTAAAAATGACTCAATAAGAATTACATGCAATCAATATTGAATAAAAATTATTCTATTATATTCTATTCTTGGCAGTTTCTGAGTACTGCTTTTCTGGGTATAAAATTGAAACCACTGCCTGGCTTGGCACTACTTACAAGTACTTGCTGCCAGGTCACTTCGTCGCAGATAGCGTAAGTTTTAATTCGCCGGAGCCAAGATTTGTTGCCAACTTAATTGCATTGCGACTGCCCATATTGACATAGTATCCAAGAATACCTTCAATTTCCATTACAAGAGTTACAAACGTGAACAAATACGTTAGGACCGTTGAAGTATTAAGTACTATATACTTGAGGAGATGTCGACAATTGGTTGTGTGCAATGCGAGTTAGAGCCCGCGGACCCAAATGCGTCTGTTCTAGTACAAAGTACATATTACTTAGAATGTTTAGGATCACTAATTAATTAATTAATTTAAAAATTGTTTTACTTTAGTGAAATTTTCGTTGCACAATGTGATATGGATCGGTTAAATGAAAAGATAAAATAAACTTATATACATTTTATTTCAAATTGTTGTGTATTTATTCCATAATATTTAAAAATAAATAAAACTTAAATGAATATTATATGCACGTCTCAAACATTTTTTCTTATGGTTCGAATATTACTCAAGTACGGTTTACTCTTATTGCACAAATTAACTCAAAATTATAACGCACAGAATGATTATATCAAACAGTTCTACTGAGGCACGATCAAATATTGTAAGCGTAGGCAGTCCATAAATATATAGCTCCAAACACACACTCACACACCTACGATAAGTGGAGTGGTAATTACACGAAGCTAGGGGAGAAACCGAGAGAATAATTGAATGTTACCAACGTAAAATAACAGTTTAATATTACTGTGTTTCGTGAAGTGAGTGTAGAGAACCAGAGACCCTTTTTACTGGAAAAAATCCATCTTAGTCCTCAGGGATGACAATGTATCTGCATTTTGATTCTTAATTGAGGATAGATGTAGATGTGTAAGGGTCAGAGCATTCACTTACCATCAGGTGGACTGTGTGCTCGTTTATCACCCGTATTCTATAAAATAAAAATAAATTATAACATTTACTTTTGTCTTATGATATTATTTATTCATCATATATTAGGCTGTTAACATATTGGTGATGCAACCAAGTCGCTTCTATATGTTACAATTCTATGTTAGCCAAGACATTAGATTCACCGCTACTTGGTGGCGCAAATGAATCCATCACCACGTAAGTCTATTATTAATAGGAAATGCTTGATCTCATGGCCTTCATCAGATGGCGTTATATATCCACCTCATAATATATGCCAAGTGTAGAGCGACCAGACTGGTGCTGGGAATCAATGTTAAGGTTTGAAACGTCTTTGGTAGCATTACGCTAATGATTTTTGAACATCCATCCTAAATCTACACCAACAACTATAAATTAGCAGTCCCCGATTTCTCCACGAGTTCTAGTAACGTGTGCAGCGATGTGTCGAACAGCTCGCATCGGATCGGCATCTCCAGAGAATAAAATGGGTTCTTCAGGGCGTAGTCAGAGTACAGTTCATAAATACGCTTGAGGACAACATCCGTCCCCTGCATGTTTGGATCTGTTACCACTATGAATTTTACACCTGAAAATGAAATATTTCATTTTGTACATTTACAGTTTCTATTAGCTGAGGCATTTGGTAGAATCATGCTGCAGCTATATTATTGTTGTAGCACGAATGGGTCGGCTCGACCGGGAAAGGACCACGCTCTCACAGAATACCAGCGTGAAATAGCAGCTTAATGCTGCTGTGTTTGGTATGGTGAATGTAGAGAACCGGAGACCCTTTTTTTACTGGAAACGAGGCATACCATCTAAGTCTTCAGGGGTGACAATGCATCTGCATATTAATTCTTAATGGAGGATAAAGAATTTATTATTTGACGGCTCCATGGTGCAGTGGCTTAGCAATGAGTTGCAGTGCTGAAGGCCGCATATTCGAAGCCCAAATGGAACAATTAACTGTAGGTCTGGATGTATGTATGTATGTATACGTTTTTTTGTCTTTGTGAAATGTATGTATACGTTTTTTTTTAAATATTTAAAAGAATTAGCATGGTTAACATTTTTGGTTAAGCATTGTCATAAAATTAAATTTAATACTCTGTATTTGTAAAAGTTAAACTATCTCAGACATTTTTCTCAGGGGCTAATTCATATTTTGGCATCGAATTTCCTAACCCCCTAATGCTTTGCTTTAAGCAGTAAAATGGGAAGATCATTGTGTGGGGTACTGCAGTGGTGACGCGACGTAAGAGAATCAATGACTCCATTTTATCCTGTGGGTAGGTATAGGAGGCGACTGTGGTAAACGTGAGAAAGATGTAATGGTGAAGCTGTCAGATTCAGACAATAAAAATTGTTCTAGGTTTAGCCTAAATTATCAAGATTAACTGATAAATTCTTTCGCAATCAAGTTATTTCAATTATATAGTAATTCAAATGGTGCTGATGATAAAAAAAAAACTTGCACTTTATTGACTTTTTTATGTTATTTGTCTCTTATGTTAGCATTATTTCATTGTATCAAAATAGAATAGAATAGAATAAAATAGAATAATTTTTATTCAATATGAATTATTACATAATACATATTGAAAGTCATTTTTTTTTTACCCCTAGTTCGGAAAATACCTCTGTCCTGGGAAGAACCAGCAAGAAACTCAGCGGAACTTTGTTTAAAACATATTTTACTGTACAATAATTTTGTTTTTTTGTATGTACAAATTTTAAATGAGTTTTAATAGAACCAGCATGGTGGCGATCACCTCATTCGCAGGTGTTTTTTTCACTTATGTATTCTCTGATATTATAATAACCCTTTTTGTACATTTCTGGGATTGTTGTAAAATTACTAATTCTGTGAAGTCTAGTAACTGGTATTACAAGCTTATATTCGTTCCTAGACATCTTTATTCTTATCAAAGCTATATATGTTTTTATGTACATACATTATATTTTCATAAATATATAGTGATGCCAAAGTTGATATGTTTATTTCTTAAAATTTTTGTTTAAGGGACTCATTCCAATTTAAGTTATAAATCACCCGTACGGCTCTCTTTTGAAAAACAAATATACAATACTTACGTCCCGGCTTCGCTCGGGTGATTTCTGGATCTCAACAACAGCAACACCTACCAGGTGCAAATGTTAATCTAAACGATCCAAGGACCAATTCAAACTCACACAAAAAAATTCATCAAAATTGGTTGAGCAATATATTACCTTAGACATGTAGGATTCACAATGATTCTTGAGTTCATCTATTCATTTATTACATTCAAAAGTTGACTTCTAAACATAGGCCTCTCTCTAGGCAAATATTTGCTACAATTGCCACGCTTTGACAAGCTTGGTAAGCACAATTTTTTATTATTTTGAGTTGTTATCAGGTAGATGCTGCAGCTCCTCTCCTAGTTTATTTCCCTCCGTCGCCTCTTACGACACCCATGGGATGATATGAGATAGTGGATATTCTTACACCACCACTATATAGCACATTAAATTGTAATTGATGTTCCAATAATGCCAGTCAGTCAGCTGGACTCCTAAGCTCTTGCTATTAATGGTTAGTGTAATAGATACCACTGGTTGTATCATTTTTGTTTGTAAGTTCAACATATCATGCAAGTTTACCACTGCTACAATAGGTCACCACGATACTGGGTTGACTGGCAGAGAATGCCGACATGCATTAAGTCTGCCCATTGTTACTTTAGTTGTAAGGTGTTAAAATAAAGAACAAATCAATAAAAATAATTACCTGTTAGTGTTTGAAAGCAGGCCAGTTTAAAGGTGTCAGCTGTTAAAATCTCAATACCAGAGCACTTTGGCACTGGACTAAGCTGGCTTGCAAGCGCAAACAATGGGTAGAACATACTGGCCAATACTATTTTCTCATTGGTTGTGGCTCTTGGTCTTCCAAATTTAAGGCTTAAAGGATAGTTTTCCTATAATGTGTTTATTGAACTTTAATTTAATTAGTTTTACTAAAAGTTAAGTTTAATTAACACAAATCAAAGGTTATGGACATAATATAGGGGCATTATCTGTCAACAATTACAATTCCAGAAAAAATATTAAAATATGCCATCTTTTTAAGCATAAATGGCATAAAACTACTAGTTTCATCTGGTATATGGATAAGAGCATCAGATCCAATTGATGGAATGTCTTAAATGAAGATATTTTTTATTAAATAAATACCTTAGATGCTATAATATCAAATACATCCCTGCCATCTTCTGTGGTACATCCAGTGACAGGAGATCCATTGATAGATAATAACATATGGCCAACTGAAACAAAAAAGCATCTTTATATAAATATATTTTTATACACATAAAGTGAAATTTTGAAGTTTTTGGAAAACAAATTGTTGTTACAGGAATGGGTAAAGTACCTTACTAACACGTCGTTGACGCCGCAAAGGGCCGAACCTCAATATTTCAAATAATTACAGGAGAGCAAGAAAACATTTATTATTCCTTAAATACTTAATTAAAATTAAATGTATTACATTTAATAGAAAATTACAAATAGCATTAATTTTCTGATGAAAAAAAGCTAGTGATCGGGGAGTACTAAATGTTATCTTGCTCTCTTGTAAGTTTTTGAAAAATTGAGGTTTGATGAATTCATTTGTTGAAAAAAAAGTCACAACCTAGTTAAATTCATGTTTTGTTATTTTACATAATTTCAAAGCATATATGTAAAACATTTCTATAAAGAAAGTATTACAATAAATGCCTGAAAATAAAAAGCTCCCTTAGCTTAGCTTATTCGTTGATCACCGTTACCATTACAGCGTTTTTACCGACTTCAAAAAGGAGGAGGTACTCAATTTAAAAAATTACCGCTTATAAAGTCTACTGCTGGACATAGGTCTTCCTCAAAGATTTTATAACAGGGATATTTCAAGCACAGTTTTTTTTATTTTATAGTTGTTATTAAGAAGGTATTTTGGTTTCTTTCCCTCTGTCATCTCTGTGTCCTGTACGGGGTGGTGGATATTCTTATACTGCCACTATATGGTCAATATTTTATTAAACTTGTTTTTTTATTTATAATAAGATTTATACCATTGGGATTAAATTTGTAGATGAGCTTCACTAACTGAAGTAAATAGGAAAAATATTTATTTTAACTGTGTAACTATTTATTAAAAGAAAAACTAAAGCATAAAATATAGCGGGCATAAAAATATTGCCGATAAAGATGTACCATTTATTCCGTCTCTCTGGCCAAAAACTACTACAACTTTCTTATTTTCGTACTGCAACTTAATATCTAAAGGATAACCAAACGTTTTTTCCGTTTCTACTTTTGGTATGTTATGATCATAGTTATAAATTAATCCACCAGATTTGCTGACTATATAAACTCCATATATGACCATTATTATGCAATTTTACTTAGATTTATATTAAAATTTTAAAAATGATAAATAATAAACACCAAACAAACACCCCATTTGACAGTATTAACTTATATATTAGTCTATGGTATTAACTACAGACTACTTCTTGATTCTTGATAACTGGCTTTACGGCTCTGGGATCTAGCCCTTCTGAGCCTGAAGTTACAATATTATATTATAATAATTATTCTTCATAGTATACTGCTTCACAGTATGTTGATGCGTCACATTGTGCAGCCCTTGGGAGATTTTGGCGGCAACTTGAGCCAGCAGACATCTGACAGTTGGCGATGGTACCTCAAGGCGCCTAAGCAGACAGAAACCTTATCTTGAGAATAACATCACCATCAGAGCACATGTTTCAAATACAAATACAAAATCTTTATTTGCATAAAACACAGTTGACATGGTCTTCAGTTAAGTATCTATAATGTATATGTGTTTGGTCTCGTCAAAGATGTGTAAATATTTAGTTACATAAAACAAAAAACTCATTAAGCACATAAATCATTAAACTAATTTTTCCATTCTAAGCATTATTTTAGGCTATAGAAACAATTTTCCTGTAATCATTTCGTTAAATTATTTTTGAAAGAGGCTCCTTCTTTTTCTTTTAAATTCTTAGGTAATGTGTTATAAAATAATAATATGCTCATGTTATATATACATTTCTCTTATACATATATTTATTACAGGGACATGATATATTAGGTTTGCATATTTACTTGTTAAACGCCTTGTTGTAGTATCTTGGTGGGTTTTAAAATACTTAGGGAATGTTTTGCCAAAAAGACAGGCTTCTCTGATATATAAACAAGGTAATGGAAAAATAATATATATTTTAAAGTAAGGTTTACAACTATATAATTAATAGAATCAGGCGTTACTTTGCGGAAATCCATTATATAAAAGCTTTTACAAAAATTTACTTCGCAAATATCCGCGTTATAAAATAAAATGATGTGTCTTACCTAGTATGAAGAAGCACTTCCCGCCCTCCCTCAATTGCGTGTACTAACCCCGTCACCACTAATCCCAGCACCGCTACTCCCAACACCACTACACTAGGCAAGACACCACTGACAATAATACGACACGTGTTTCCCCTCTACACGAGGCATCCTCAGGTGATATAGACTCTACGGTGGCTAACCGCTAAGTGAGCGGCGAGCCAAAACAAGTGCCTTTTATACAAACCGATGACGCAACCGCTCTCTACCTAAGTAGTAGTAAAAGCGTTTACAACTATCTAAATACCAAATGTTGCTTAAGACACGGGTGCATCGTTTTTCAACTAAAATGCTCTTTCTACCTCAACAGAGTTACCCCAAAGCAATATCGTATAACTAAGCACCAATGATACGTAGCTTTGGTACGCAGTGAGAGCAGCCTCAATTGATATATTTTGCCTAAACTTTTTAAAGCAAAGTGAATTGTTGAAGCATTTTACAAACGATATCAATATGCTCCTTCCAGTTCAGATGTGTATCAATATTTACTTCTAAAAATTTATAGTTATCTACTTCATCAATTTTGTTATTGTCGTATAGAATATTAAAGTGTTGTTTAGATGACCTTTATGACCTAATTGCATAATTTTCGTTTTTTGTAGATTGATCTTTAAATCATAAGCCTCCAACAATTATACGATATTCGTTAGTGCCGTATTTGCAAGCGAATCTAATGAATTGTTACCATCACTTTTAACTATTATAGTAGTATCGTTTGCAAAAAGGATACATTTGTGTGAAGTGGCATTGGGAAGGTCACTACCATACAATAAAAATAATAAAGGACCGAGTATACTACCCTGTGGTACGCCTGTTTTTTTTTTAAATAATAATTGAGAACGATGAGTTTCTTAAATAAAATGTAATTTTTTTGTGTAATTTTTGTTACTGTCTTCTACTTTTCAAATAACTTTGAAGCCATGCATACGCGTTCCCTCTAAATCCGTATGATTCTAGTTTATGGAGGAGTAAATCATGATTTACAAAGTCAAAGGCGCAACTCATGTCATGAAATAGTGACAGTACCGGGGTATTATTATTTACTAGCTGTTCCCCGCCACTTCGCCCGCGTGGAGTTATTTTTCGCGGAACCCTAAATAAAAGCAGCCCAAGTTACTCCTTATAATATCAGCTATCTGCCAGTGTGTATAAATATTGACAAATATTAACATTAATATTTATACGATATTAACGTCACTCAATTGTTTTACCTTCCCGGAACCCGAACCCCTCCACTAACACTTAAACTTTATGGTATGGTATTAAAGTTCAAATTGATTTTTAAGTATTATTACGAATCTTTTGTATGGCAATATAGAAAAGTGTTGTTTTTAGACTTTTTGAGGCAATTTTTTAAATTTTTCTCTCCGCAGGAACCATCTTCGTACTTCAAGAAATATTATAAAAAAAATTAGCGAAATCGCTTCAGCTGCTCTCGAGATTTGCGCTTAGCAACACATTTAGCGATTAATTTTTATATTATAGATACATTCAGTTACTTATTTTACAAATTCCAAACAAGCAAGAACTACTTTTACGAAAGCCAAATTGTTCAGGTTGTAATATGTCACAAGAACTCATAAAATCACTAAGTCTTTTAAGCATTGCTTTGTAAAACGCTTTTGACAATACCGAAACCAAAGGGATAGGTCTGTAGTTGCCTATATCTTGTTTATCTCCTTTTTTATGCAAAGGATGAAATATAGATAATTTCAGATCATCTGGAAATACACCCTCTTCAAAAACAAGTTAATAATATGAGTGAGGGCTATACATATATGAGAAGCACATAACTTTAATACTTTAGTAATGATATCATCATTACTAAAGTATTAAGTTTCATCGTTTCCACTAATAGTTCATATGCGCAGACACTTAATACACAAAATCGCACCACTTTTACATATCAAATTTCACTTCAAATCATTATTTAAACAATAATACAGGAGCAGCAATCCGTCGCCGGTCAAGTTCCCGCCAAAACCCCCATTTACAATTTTACAATAGCGAAAAGTAATATAACAGGGAGTAAGTAATAATTACTTTTTACATTGTTGTGGGTAAAGAAATCTATGCCCATACAGACTATTCAAATGTTTTATGTTCATAAAATTCTTCAAAATATATTAGTTCTTTACGCAGTGGCAGTTTATTGATATTTGAATTATGATTCTGGAAGAAATTAACTGGACGGGACGCAACAAATTCTTCAAAGGTATTTTGTACGGCCTCTCTGGTATTGAACTTTATCCCGCCAAAAAGTTATCCGAATTCTGGAAAAAGTAGAAGTCTGTAGGTACAAGATCTGGTGAGTACGGCGGATGACGGAGAGCTTGCAATCACAGCTCTTGTAATTTGAAGAACGTCTGTTGTGCAGTATGACGTCACGCGTTGTCGTGCGGGAGCAGCGGGAACGAGCGGTTGAAGCTCTCTGGAGACGTGCAATCTTCTCCACCATTGTGTTCAGTTCTTCATAGTACACATCTGCAGTAATGCTCATCCTGTTTGGTAATAAGCTGTGATGAATTACACCGGCGCTAGACCACCAAACAGTGGCCATCACTTTTCTAAGGGTAAGTTTTCGTTTAGGGCATTGTTAAGGTCCTAATCCAGGATCTAACCAACTTGCTGAGCGCTTGCAATTGTCAAACAGAATCCATTTTTCGTCACAGGTAACAATGCGGTTCAAAACTCCTTCGTTTGTGTGCCTGTTGAGCAGTGCGAGGCACGTCGCAACGCGTACTTCGCCTTGGCGAGCATCGGGTTCGTGGGGAAACCATTTGTCAAGCTTTTTTTACCTTGCCAATTTGACGCAAATGGAACAACATTGTTTTAATGCTAACATCGAAAGGTGCTGCTAATTCAGCCGTAGATTGATTACCAGCTTCCATAATCGCCTTTAAGTTGTCATTGTCGACCAAAGTTTACGGACGACCACGGGGTTCATTTTTCAGGTTGAAATTTCCAGAACGGACACGGGCCAATCAATAACAGGTGTTGCATTCGTTTGCAGTATTCGCTGCGTAAACATCGTCGATGTTGCGTGCCGCTTGTGCCGAGTTGCTGTCACGACTTTACTCATATTCCATAATTACTCGAATTTTTAACGGATACGTTATCATAGATATATAATGCCGGAAAACATTCAAATGCGATGAAAACATAACAAAAAAGAATTCCACAGATTTTGGCGACAGTTTACCATAGCGCAGTCGATGCCAATACTATCTTACGGCGCCAGAGCTAACAAAATAATTTAGGTACTTAAGATTTTTAACACTATAGGATCACTTGTTTTATCGCACAGAATCGCACAAGTCTTGATTGACTTGACATAGGTAATAATTACATTTTAATTATGTCTCTTTTTCTATTCAATATGATAAATATGCTATTTCTAATATATGTATCTTATAACATACCTATCAAAGTAATATACCTATACAATCAAAGAAAAATATTTTCTTTGATTGTTATTTTCTACTTTTTCCTTGTAACGAAATTTTTTTAAAACGACATTAATTGTCTGGTCCCTTGAATTTTGATAAAGAAAGTTTTCACTGTGTTATGCAGAAAACAAAGTAGTACGTACACACATTACATATTTTTGAATACAGAGTAACCGCAAGAAGAAAAAAAATATATATATCGAAGACGTATTAAGTTCGCCAACACGCATTGGGGCAGCGCGGCGGACCTTTCTTTGCCCTAAAAACCCTCTCATAAATGAGATGAGACCTGTGTCCAGCAGTGTGGCGTGTATATAGGCTATAACTTTAACTTAATTTAACTTTAAGAATAACTCAAAAACTATTGGTCTGAGCTTGATCAAATCCATATGGGACCACACGAGAAGTACCAGCTTTCAAGTAAAAAAAGAATCATCGAAATCGGTTCACCCAGTTAAAAGTTATGAAGTAACACACAAAAAACATACAGTCTAATTAAATAATGGTACTCACCATTTCC